GGTACGAAACTATGACTATGTTTGAAAGAGATGGTGCGAATGGTGTGTTGATAGGACACCACCATACATCCCAAGTGAATACAACCCTACTAGAGTCGTACAATATTTGATGTCAATCAGCCGCACTTCCTCCCAGCATCTGAATGTCACAAGATCCGCAATTGCTTATGTGTCTAAGATATTACATCCACACGAAGCACCAATCGCATATCATCCTCTGGTGCAAGAGTTCTTCAAGGCTAAAAAGAAGCAAGAGATAAAACTGCCGAATATTCATCAAGAAATCTGGGATGTTGAACCCGTCTTAGCACTTATAAAAGCATGGGGACCAAACTTGACGATGAATATCTCATACTTACAAAGGAAAACATTGATACTGCTTTGCTTGGCCACGATGTGGAGACCAAGGTCTGATCTTGGTCGTCTTCAATTTCGGGATGTTACTTTTCACTTTGATAAGGATCAACTGCTGACGGGAACCACGTTAATATCACGTACACCTAAAGAATCGCAAGCAACATCTTCAAAATTGAGAGTCATCAAAGAAAAAGATATTTGTCCGGTCACTACACTTAATTAATTCGTCCAAATTACACAATCTCAAAGGGCCGAACTTCCAAATGACCACACCTTGTTTCTTTCATACATTAACACAACACATCCTACGTCAGTCAAGGCTACAACAATTGCAAATTGGGTGAACGGGATCATGGAACAAGCAGGTATCGACACCACAAAATATACCGCACACTCACCACTCGCAGCAGGTGGAACCTATGCTATTCTTAACGGACGATCAATTGACGAAGTCAAGTGGCACGGTAACTGGAGCACATCCAGTAACACCTTCGAATCATATTATTTTAAACCTAACAACCAACACGCCCGAGGGGCACAGATAACTGAGTCTATTCTTTCATCAAATACAGAGGATGTGGTAGGCACCCGCCGCTGGTTTTCTTTTCTTTTTTCTTAAACCAACATTTATGTCAACAATTTTACAGAATCCCCACCCAAAACAACAAAAACATACCACATCATGACCAAAAAAATATAACGCTTAGCTAGGAAAGATATAAGAAAAAAGGGATACTTAAAGTTTATTATATATATATATGTTATTTACTGAAAATAAAAGCGCGGCTCGGAGAGCCTAATACCACATCCTCTGTCTCCACTTCGTCAACTTTCCCATTGCCCTCGTTCTTCACCCAACCTTTAAAATTCTCTCAGTAAGACCAGTGGCTTTTATCCAGCTCATTCCTTTGATAGCTTTCCCGCCAAGATAAGAGCAACAATCTAATGGAAATACTAAGCGCCTTGTCATATTATCATCATTAATCCATATATACACATATATCTTCTTCTTTACTTGGTTTTTCTCTAAAAGAAGCGATGATCTTTTAGCACGTAAAATCACCGCTACCTTTTTATTGGATATTTATCTCTCTCTCTCTCTCTGTGTGTGTGTGGAAGTTCATTTTTTTTTGTCTTTTATTTCATTCCAAAAGCGTGTTCGGTTAAGATTTGTGAATCTTTACAGGAATTTACATTCTTATTTTTTTTTACACGACAAATCAATTCTCAGCATTCAACTACCCTTGTGATTTCAATACTAAAGATTAAGTCAGGTCAAGTCAGGTACAGACGAGACAAGACAGGATAAGTTCCTCACAATGGGCAAATCGACAACCACCAATACCATACACTCAAAAGACTACACGCTTGCGAGTACAATAAATAAAAGTGAGATAATGACCATAGAAGTGATAATCAATTCTGTCAATTAAACAAAGCTTAAAATCACAAATGAAGACACATTGACACAATAAAAAAAAAGAAAGAGAGAGAGAGAAAAAAGAACACGAACGGTGCAGATGATCTAACTACAAACCAAAACCCCTAATCAACCAAGTCTTAATAAATATTCTTATATATATATAAATATATATAATCTGCTTTTTTTTATAGAGCTTAAAGAGAATACGTTTTTAATGGTAGATAATGATAAAAAGGCAAGGTCGTTTGGAGTACATCTTGAAAAAGGTTCTATCAACAAAAGGCGGCCGAAGAGTCCAGTGCCAGTTGTAGCACCCAAAGATGCTCAGGAAAACGAAAAATACAAACAGATGTCTAAAGGTGTCAAAGGTGCACACACTATGAAATATGTGCAGGGAACCCGGTCACTCAAACCTGCAAAATCAAAGGCATTAACCAAGGATACCCCGAAAACGAAGAAGAAAAAGGTATTTAATAAGCAAATAGATCAGAAATTTTGATAGCTTGATAGATCAATACATAGATTATATAGCATAAGAGTGTATACCTTTTGCTTTAATTTACATGTTTTTTTTTATTAAAAAGAAAAAAAAGAAAAAAAATATTATTATTTTAAAATAAAAATAAAAATAAAAATGCCACCAACTCCATTCCATTCCCTATCTCTTTCTCTTTCTATTTGGATTAAACCAGTCAAAGGGATCACATCTTGAAAATGAATAAATGTATTAAACATGATCTTCTTTTAAAGGCCCTTGTTGAGCCTAGAACTACAGAAAAACCAGATATTGTAGAAAACATCCAGAGTCCTTCTTTGTCAGCAGAAACAATCGAAAATACAAAAAGCAAGATAGTAAAGAAAGTGGCGAATGTCGCTCAGAAAGATAAGAAAAAATATACCAAGAAACCAGATAATAAAAGCACACCAAACAGCAGCATTGATGACCCAAAACCAGCCAAAGACGAAACGAATGTGAATAAAGCCGCGACAAAGAAAGCTCCCAAAAAACCAAATGCGTCTAAAATAATACAACCTACAAAGAAGATTAGCCCCCAAAATCTCAAAAATATAATACTGCACTTTAAAGCCTATAATTCTGATTCTGATTCTGATTCTGATTCTGGTAAGCCATCAAACAAAATACCCAACTTTGAATTATTGGTATATTTACTGTATTTGTTTAGACTCTTCTGATAGTAGCCTTCCTATACCGAGTTTAGAGGAAATATTAGCCGAAGAGAACTTTTATGAAGAAGAAGGAAAGAGAATTAAAGCTACTACCAAGATCCAAGGTCCAGAACATCCAAAACAAAAACCAAATCAAAAACGAATCGAAAGACCAGATCCACAATCCTTGGTCGTTTCTAGTCGCAAAAAGTCTTTACTTGAACCTAATGATGGTGGTCCAAAAAAGGTCGCAGCTCCAAAAAAAGGTTCAAAAGACAAATATAAAGACACAGACATGACCAGAGACAAAGCCAACGTCACAGCCAAACCAAAAGACAAAGATAAAAAGAAAGACAACGAGGCGCCTAAAGTCTCGACAAAGTCAGGCAAAAACAAGAGAAAGAGAACAGATGATGATCATCCTAGAAAAGAACCAAAGGTTATTGGAGCTTCAGAAGTTGGATCAGGATCAGGATCAGGATCAGGATCAGGACTAGGATCCGAAGCAGAAGCAGAAGCAGAAGCAGAGGATATACAGTATGAAGTGGAGAAGATCTTGGGCCATATTGTGTATAGAGTAAGTCGCACTGATTCTGGATTGATCTAATCTTCAAAACTGTTTCCAAGTCTTACGTTTTGTCTTTGTTTTTAAAATAAATAAATAAATAAATAGGGAAAGGTTGTTAGATATGAAATCAAATGGCTTGGTTACCCGGAAAATATGAATACCAAAGAACCCGCAGAAGTCATACATGGGTAAGTGAAATAGAGAATATCATCTAAGTTTTTTTTTCTGATACCCACATTTTTAATACATCTATTTTAACATAATTCTTCTTTTCATATATGTATCTTATTATCTGCAGTGACTGTCCCAACATGTGCATTGAGTACTGGTCTACTCGTGAACCAAAACCTGAAAATATTCCTATAGTAAAACCCAAAAGCAAGAAACGTAAAATAACCAGAAAGGCTGCTACTAATCCCAGAACTTCCAAGAGAAGGACAAAGCCAGAGTCAAAGCCAGACCAACAGCCAGACCAAGATCCAGAGCCAAAGCCAAAGCCAGAGCCAGAGCCAGAGCCAGAGCCAGAGCCAGAGCCAGAGCCAGAGCCAGAGCCAGAGCCAGAGCCAGAGCCAGAGCCAGAGCCAGAGCCAGAGCCAGAGCCAGAGCCAAAATCAGAACCAAAATCAGAACCAAAATCAGAACCAAATCCAAATCCAAATCCAGAAATCAGCTACTATAAAAAACGCTCTTTATATGCCATCATTGCTACTAAAAAGAGAATTGACAATAATGAAGTACCCAAAGTGTATCGTGATTTGGGATATAAGCTAGCTTATGATGGCAAGAGCGCTTATAGAAAGTGGAATTGGAAAGAAGAACTTGCTGACATTTACACAGTCAGACAAATAGCAAACAAGGACCAAAAGCTAGCCATGGTGAATTGGTAAGAGTCATTAAATTAAATTAAAATAAAATAAACCACCCCCTCCTTGCCCCTCTTTCTCATTGTGCGTGGATATTGGTGTGATCTACACACACACACACACACACACACACACACACACACGCATACACACAAGTATATACATATATATATATATATATAATTATATATTTAACATATATAAAAAAAAGAGAGAAGATTATGGACAAGTGAAAAGGTTAATGGACAAAGTCTGACACTGGAAATAATGATTTATAGGAAAAATGGAGACATGACTGCGCATTTGATAGAGGAGCTTCATGAAAAAGCCCCTTTTGAGGTAAGGGAGTACCTACAAAAGACCTCGATCGCTGCCATGTATATACTTGGCTCTATCACATACACTCACACACACACTTCTTTAACTAACCTACTTTGTAGTTGATCAGCTTCTATGAAAAGAACGTTCTTTTTCTCAAGTCTGAGTTGTAATAATAAAATATAAAATATAAAATATAAAATATAAAAAGAAAAAAGAGTCAAACTGGTGTTGTTCAGTAGTAACCGCGGCGTTTACTATAATTGTGAATGCAGCCCCTCTTTTAGCTCTTCTCCATTTCTCCCTTTCTCTTTCTTTCTCTTTTCCTTCTTCTTTTCTTTTACCCTAGGTACCTTTGCTCTTTTGTTCTTTTTTTCTCTCTCTTTATTTATTTCTTTCTTTATTTCTTTCTTTTTGCTTTGACACAAACCAATCCTCATTCGACATTCCAAACTCGACCATTCCGACAACATAGAGCACAGACATATATTGATAAATACAGACATAGCCACAGACACAGAATCAGACACAAACGCACAAACGCACAAACGCACAGAAACACAAAAACACAAAAGCACAAATATATATATATATATATATATATACATATGTATCTATAGATATATATAGATATATACAATACAACTCTATTTACAGCTCTTTGTCTCGAACCTTACCTTTCACAACATCCGCCTAAATTATAATTAATCCCATAATTCGAAAAGACGATGGGAATCATATCACAAGTCGTAAGTAGTCGCATGGTTACGATACAATTCTAAAAGAAAGGGAAAAGAAAACAATCTTTTATATATTATTTTGTCACTATGGCAACAAATTATGATTTATATTACCAAAAGAGAACATGTTTTATTTTAATTAGCTATTTTAGACATATGTGTGTGTGTAATATTTGTGATTTATTGATTTTTATTTTTATATTTATATTTATATTTATATATACTTTTTTTTTCTTTATATACATATAAAAAAAAGTTTGGAAAATCACGATGGACGCGTGCGATTTTTCTATGCATAATTGTACAAGCACTACTAGCGATCATCTTTGAGTCTGTGATCTTTTCTTATGTTGCCAATGAGATCAGTATAATTGAACAAGAAAGATTGAATCAAAAGGGATTTGGAGAAAGTCTAGCTACAGCATATGCAAACGCACGGTCTCTGTTGGTTTATTTTGTGCTGTTTATCATTGCCCAGGTCTTCACGGTTATTCTTGTCGTAGATGCTGTAAGTAATGCTAATAGTAGTAACAGTAACCCTTACTGCATAATAATTATAAGAATAATAAGGATATGAAAAAGAAAGAAAGAAAGAAAGAAAGAAATGTATATAATAATTTGGAAATCATAAACACATACATACATACACATGTATATAGATATACCAAAAGAATACAATTCAACTGATTGCGCTGGTCGCATTTGAACTTGGGATGAGCGCCTACTCGATCATCCAGTACCACCAATCTCTGACCTTATTTGACAATACCGAAGATGCAAGTGTCAAGTTGGCTCTGGCGTTTCTAGGCTCAGCTTACCATGCCTCAAGCTGGGCAGAAATTACCCAAATATGTGTCATGATATTGAGCACAATTGTTTTTATTTTCTTGGCGTACAAACTTTATCTTGAGTTTGGTTGGCATATCTACAATAAGATCGGTGCTGATTTGGCTATGAGAGGTAAGGCATCATTAGAAACAAAATACAAGTAATAATAATAAGAAGAAGTACAAAGAGAATATATACTTGGTTACTTATTTATTAATTAATTAATTTTATTTTAACCAATCTTTGTTTTGAAGACCGCTACAAGATGTATCAGATCTTCATGATGCTCCTGAAGTTTGATTTCTTTTTTTTTCTCGGATTTTCGATTCAATACCTCGCTTTGCTAATCGTAGCCTGGTGGGCAGAAGCAAAAACAGAAGAGGCAAAGAAGAGCATCGTCAACGAGCTTATCGAGCACATCGTCCTCAGCTGTCTTGTTTCTGTTGCGATGCTTATACTAGCCTATTGGGGTGTAAGCAATGAAGATTGGGCAGGAGGAGGATTTCCTAAATCAAAACAAATCAAATCAGATCAGATCAGATCAAAAACTAAGCATTATTATTCTTCTTCATATTTTTTTCTTTGACATAGTTACGAAAGGAACGTAAGCCGCACATGTACAGCTTCATTGTTCTCTCCTGTGCCAGTATGGCTTACTTTATATACATGCTCGTCCAGATAGGCCAACATCCAGAACGTTTTGTTGGATCAAGAGCGTTTTTAACTTTTTTCTGTAAGTCAGATTTTATTTATGACTTATACACACAATATATATATATATATTTGTCCTCTGTTTTCTAACTTACCATCTTAGTGTGTGTTGATATGGTCCTTATTTTGGTAATTCCCATGCTTTTATATATATATATATTATCTTAATTTCTATTAAGAAAGAGAGAAAAAGAAAAAGGCATTCAAAAAAGCCAAGAAACCAAAAAGCCAAGAAGCCAAGAAGCCGAAACTAAATATTATTAACACCTCATGTACTTTTACCCTTTCTTTCCAAAGGCTTCAGTCCCAGTTGCTGTAGTTTGTCTCCGAAATTTTGGTTTCCTAAAGACTCAGAGTAAGTCTCTTGTGATTTTGAATACATATATATTCCATACTTACCATTCTATGGAAAACTTTTCTTTTTACTGTATGTTTCTTCATTTTAGTGCCCAATGGTAATCCTGCCTCGCCTTCTCACTCTATGACACCTATTGGTAAAGAGAAGCCACCTACGGAACGATGGTCTATTGAGTAGCAACGATCATTATCAAAAAAAAGGAATCTTTATCTATTAGTTTTGCATTACTAAATAATCAATAAGCACACCAATTTATTCAATACTGCAAGAGAAGAGGAGAAAGAAAGAATCAGGAGCCAGGCAACTTTACATACAACACACAACATCTTTACCTTTTACCTTTTACCCTTTACCCTTTAAAGCATATCCATATCCATATCCATATTTACATCTACGTCTACGTCTACATCTACATTTGAATGTCTTTATCGATTCTATCTTTTCTTCTTCTACAAATATTTTCTGGTTTTTTTTATATTATTATAATTGTTCTTTTATATATATATATCTATATACCTATATATATATATATCTTCTTTCAGGTGTTACAATCCGTTTGAAAGGCCCTTTATTCTTTTTTCCAACCCACCCACTCATTTACCCACTCATTTACCAACTTACCAACTTACTTATTTGCCTACCTACTTAAACGAACTACATTTACATATATATATAAATGATTCCTACAATAGATACTTCTTTAGATTGATACTGTATTTGACATTGTAATCGATTATCGTTCTTATATAGCTCCTGTGGATATTTTTAGAACAAACCTGTCCAGATGTGCGGATGTGTATAAGCATGTACTCCAATGACATGCATGCATTAGCCAGAACACTATAATACAAGTTCTTATTAAAATATATGACAGCAACGATAGCTATCTACCTTTGACTTGGCTTTCTAAAAAAAGTTAAAGATGTATTTATTTGCAATAAACAAAAGAACTATATAAACATACATTTAGGATGTATAAGCTGTTTTGGCTAAATTCTGGTTTAGGAGAAGGCCTGATAGTCAAAGAGCATACATACATGTATATATATATATATAAATAAATATGTGCTTGTGTGTATGTTAGTATCTTGGTGGCAACGAAAAGATCTAGCAGTAGCATTATTAAGGGCTGGTTATAATCCCTCAAACTCTAGAATGTATAGATAAAAAAAACAAAACACCAATCAGACAAGGTATTTAATTTATGTACACATATATGTATATTGAACACAATTAACAGATAAAGAGATGAAGTCATACTAATGGCCATTCATCTCTGTGGATAAGGCTGAATGATTGACATACACACCTTCTTTCTTAGCTACAATTATTCATCGAGATACTTTGCTTGTTTCGGTATATTCTTTCTACTCGTTCAATTGTAAATGCATAGCTTTAAGATTCTATTGTACACAAAGATAAAGGGTTGTATTAATTTATTAATGACTATTTTTTTTTAAATATATAACGAGTATTGATCCATGTATTAATGTTAATAAATAAATAAATAAAAAAGCAAGGTGTAGGTCTTTAATTACACATTTGCATCTTTTAGAATACACCCCTATACCTTCTTCTTTTTCTCTCCTCTAATTTTTCTTTTTGGCACCTATTTTTTTTATAGTATTAATTCCTGAATTACTATAGAATATCCTAGTATATTGTCTTTGTCTGTGTAAAGTAATAATAAGGGTATATTTGTATAGATAAAAGGAGTAAAACTAATACTTGACTCTACTAGTATTTAACACTATACTAAAACACAAATATAAAAGTAGTACTCTAGCGTGATATTCTTGGCTAGGCAGTGGTTTCTCTCTCTATCTTATTATATATATATATATGTGTGTGTGTGTGTTTCAATTTCAATTACTGAAATATAGGAATAAATAAATAAAGACACAATTCCAACTTTTCATTCTATTCTTCTTCTCATAGTACTCTGATATCACGGTTTTTATACAATCACTAGTTTATCTACATAATGTAACGAGTTTCCATAGACACCTTTGGGAAAGGAAGGGGGGATACTTAATAAGAGCTAACACTTGAAATTATGTTATTTCATTTATTCCTTTATTTATTCATGGTACCCCTCTGAAACGTATCTCTTTATAGTTTACCCGTCCTCTTGCACTTTTCAGTCTTTCTCTCTCATACGCGCAAACAGACACAATAACCCTCTGGAACATACTATCTTGATCGAATGCTACTTTCTAGTATTATTATTATTATTTAAAAGAAAATAGAGTAGTTAGGTGGGGGCCCTCTCTGAAATAATATCTTCACGTCGTAATTTGAGGCACAATATATGTCTAAAGTTCAAGACTAAATCAATATCCTTATTCCCACAAATCAATTTGAAAAATATTAACGAAACGCATGCTATCCAGAACAATTTGAATCGGTAGATATAAAACAAAGGAAAAAGGTTGGATTTTATATTATTTTATTCGACTTGAAGTTTGGGGAAATTTCATGTTCTGCACCACAGACATCTGGGGTTTGGACTGTGTAATCCAAAAATATTGCGACGAAACTTTGCCACTTTTGAGTCTGACGTTTTCTTGGTTGGAGGTGTACCGGTAACATCTTGGTGTTTCCACCGTAGACTCCTCGTGAATGCAGTATAAAAGATCTCTTCTTCCAGGATCAATAAGGACGCAGCGCCCGCGAATACTTTCATGCTGTTCTGGCGTAAAGTCATGAATGTAATGAGTGTGCTCTGTGCCAATTGTGGTAGTCATTCTGGGATTCGGGCCTTGAGTAGTGCCTTGGGTCTGCTTGAGAACGGAAATACCAATACCATCAGTCTGGATTGTTCCTCTGAACTTCATCACGCCGTTCTGTTGGTCAAGGAAACCCTCGCTGTCCAAGTCCGTCACTCTTCCCCCGCAGCTCTGGTTTGTTCATGTATGCTCTCCGAGCTCTTCTCAGCATTTGCTAGCAGAGGATCCCAGTGTCAATTTGCATGTAGCATGGTGACCAGGACCGGCGAAGATGGAATATAAGGAGTCGAGGTACATAAAAGAAGTCGAGGGAATGGTTGTGAGGAGATGCTTTGGAGTCATAGTAGATGGAGTTCTTTTCGAACCCATATCTTTCTGGGTAGGCTGCCAAAATTGATCGAATAGCTGTGAAGATATCTCTACATCCTTCTTCGGGGGAATATATCTTTAAGACAGTAAACCGTTATTCATTCTTCTAAACACTCTCGGTTGCGATCTCAAGGATATAATATGCGCGCAGTGTTTAGAATAGGTTGTTATGCCTAAATCAGCGTAAAGTGTACAAGTGTACGAATGTACGGGTATCTATCATATGTGTGTTACGTTCCTGAGATGTGATCCTATTATAATTTGACTTGCAAATTTTAAGGTCCCTCTAGGACAGATGATGGCGTTTGTTTTTCATTCAATTGTGGTATGAGTATATCAGCAGTGGATTTCGGTGACCTTGTATATTTGGGAGGTGATCGTTTGGGAGAGATAGCAGGTGTACAAGCTTTGTAACAAGGCAATGGTTCTTGTTGGTGTGGTAAGTGGCCTTGTAATTTCGCCGTGTCCTTTTGCTTCTTTGGGAAGGGACAGTAAAAATATTGATCAACGAAAGTTTTTTGATCGATCTATTCATCTGGTAGTGTCAAAGGAAGGGTCAAGTACTAATAAACCAAAAAAAAAAGACATGTAAGGGTATTGTATGTACTTTAGATATAAAACCATGCAGTAGTTCAAAGAGCTCTGGTACCTACCGACGTTTGTTTGTACTGATGCCTTGGCGTTGATTTTTAAATGGAGTAGTTACACTCGTTATATTCCAGTCCACAAAGGACTGGATATATAAGCCTTTCTTGGTTGATACTCTCGAAAGTGTTTGCTGATAAATCTGACATTATAAGAGATTGTGTGAGCTTCAAAATACTATAAAACAGTCGAGAAGTAACTTACAAGAGTAATAAAAAAGATAAATTTTTGCAAAGTTTAAAATTCTTGACCTTTAATTGTGCTCTTTTTATATTTTATTTTATCAGATGTAACTTTCAAATTGAAACAAGATCTGATCTTTTAAATAATAAAAGATTTGGTGTGGACAGACTAAAAGTTCAAAAAAAAAGGTAGAAAAAAAATAAGGGAAAAGGGGCAATTTTTTAAACGACTTATTGGCTAGAAATTTTCTATGACCATCAGGATTGAGAACTTTTTTTTTAAAAAAAAAAAAAACAAGGTGCGGGCAGCTGTAAATTAGTCTGACCACACCAATTGTTGGTTTCTTACTCAAATTTTAATGAAAGCGCTTAAATTAAGATGGGATCTAAAGGTTATATATATATATATATACTTGTACAACGTACATAAGATAATAATAATAATAATAATTTCCCTTGTTTAATTTTACAACCTCTTCTTCTTCTTCTTTTTACTTTCACTTTATATTTTGGATTTAAAGATACACAAGCTAGTAATGTCGACTGAATCGAATAGGTACAAGCTTGTTATTGCGATGGGTAAATATTCAAAATCTTTTTAATTATCAAATTCTTTATTTGCATCTAATATCTTGGCTCATAATGAACCCTAATTTTGTTTATTTAGACTTTGGAACAACATTTTCTGGGTGCCATGTGCTCAGCTTAATGGCTGATCCAGTGTCAAACTGCGATATGTAAGAGATATTATAATGCAAGAAGTAGTTATCTATTGCCATAGTTATTCTTATATATATATATATATATATATATATATAATAACTTTGGTACTACACACAGATATATATATATATCATACATTATACATTCAATTAAATTCAATAATTGAATGAAATTTAGAAATAATAATTGTATATATTAAAAAACTGCTGTAGGTCTATGTGGAGATTCAAGAACGAACAGACAACCATGTTCTACAAAAAAAGATCCAAAAAACTTTTTGCATTGGGAAAACTAGCTACCAATGAATACGAAACAAATCCAAGTTCTGGATATTATGTGACCAAAGTTAAGTTATGGCTGGACAGAACCATCAAAGAAGACCTTCCATCCTTACCCCACAAAATGACTCCAGTACAAAGTAAGTGATAATCGATATACAATCTAACATTAAGATTCATAGAAAGTTATGATAATTTCACAGTTATCGCTGATTATCTAAGGCAGATGCACAAAAGTGTCTGCCAAGAAATACGCATCGAGTATCCAAACTTTACCGACCTTTCGATGTACAGATACTGTATGGCAGTCCCAACTATGTGGTCTGAACAATCCAAACAGATCATGAAAGAAGCTGCAGTCTTGGCTGGCATCATAAAGAAAAGAGATGATTCCGAAAAACTATTGATCGTCGACGAGGCTGTAGCTGCTGCCTTACATGCTGAGTCCAAGTCTTCTGATATCGAACTTACTAACGGCAGCATTTACATGGTGTGTGATGCTGGTGGTGGAACTGTGGATCTTGCCACATTCGAAAAAGACCATTCGGTTGGAGAAAATGGAATAAAAGAACTCACTATGGGAACTGGTAGTTCTTGTGGATCTGCATTTTTGGAAACTCGATTTGAAGATCTAGTAAAAGAACACACCTTAAAATATCCCGGCTACAACAAAATAATCCTAGCATTCGTTATGGAGTACTTTGCTACCTCTTTAAAGGTAATATGCATGGGATAATTTATAAAAGTATATGTATATATCTCTTGTTTTTTTTTAGGAATTAGAATGGGAGAAATAATAACATGCTTTTTGTATATAATATAGAGACGATTTGGTGACAGAGATAAAGAGGACACCTACATGATAGATCACATTAATAAAGAGTATAATAACGGACATGAGGATGACAGTGACTATAAAGAGTTTTCGTTGGATGAAATTCGCACAATAGTGTTTGATCCAATAGTTGATAAAATACTCGGTATGATCGAAAAACAATTTGAACAACTCGGAGGCAGAAGTCTGGATGTTATGTTTATTACAGGAGGGTTCGGACAGTCACCATATCTTCAAAAACGGATTAAAGATACTTTTGCGGACCGCGTCAAGCATTTCGAAATCCCTGTTCTTAGCTATAAAGCTGTAATGGAAGGAGCGGCTTTGTTTGGCGCCAATCCACGTGTAATTACTCAACGTATCTTACGGCGTACATACGGCATCAAAATGTGCTCAGCTACCGATAAATCCGATAATGACACCGGGACTCCATCCAAAAGAGACCAGTTCTATGTGTGTGTACGTAAAGGCTCTCCTGTTAACGAGGATACCTGGATAACAAAGAAAATTGCTTGGAACAAGAATATTCTTCCGATTATATGTAAGTAGTGTTTAATAATTTATTGGTATATTGATGCGTTAATGTATATATGTGTGTATCTAAGCTAACTGAGATTCTCAAAAGCTTTGTATGCATACGATGGTGATGAGCCAATTCCAGAGTACCCTACTATTCAAGAGATTGATCTGGTGTCTGTTTTTAATACCAAATTTCCACTTGATCAGAAAAGAGAAACCAGCTATGAAATAATGGCTATGAAAATGCGCTTTGGCTTGGACAAGATCGAAATCAGAGTGAATATCGCAGGCAGAGAATTTGAATACGTTACAGTTTGGGATGTTACTGGAGAAAAGAAAACACAGAACTTTACCGAGCCTAACCCACCATTTTCGGTCAAACTAAAGAAGTGGTTTTTGATGGAAGAGATAGTGAAACATCTTCCTTGATTGAAATTCATACAAACTTCCATAAACACATGTCTTTTACTTTTACTTTTACTTAATAAGAGTACCGCTTTATTGAAAATATAGCATATTATTGGATATTTTGTTTTTGATTTCTATTGCGTGGACATGATATATTAATGAATGCATATTTGAAGTCAAATCCTAAGTATTTATTTGCAAAACATGCTGGCTAATAAAAGATATATTCTAAAATAAAATCAAATTAAAATTGAAAATCAAGTCTAGATTAAGGGGGGTTCAATAATCGTATAAACTTTAAATTTGTATTCTTGAGTTTAAATTACGGAAACGATTGGTCTCAATTAATTTTAAAAATATATAAAAGCCTATAAGGAAACGTCCTTTTTTTTTTTGTTAGTTTATCTTCAGGCTTAAAAACATCAGTCCTTATTGGAAAGTAGTTTTAATTCAAAAGTCTAAAGAAGTTGTTGAATTCCCTAAAATTACAGCTATTTTTTTTTAAAAAAAATAAAATAACAAAGTTTACTTATAGTGTATATAGATATATATGCATACTAGTTAAAGGCTCGAGGATGATCATATGCGAGTAATGTAACACGTTTGCTTAATGCATGAATAGAGTGTATTCGTGACTCTTTTGTGTTTCAAACTCTTGAATTGATATGCAGAAAGAAAGGAAAGTATTTAGAAAGCATATCTTTTTTACCAGCTATATTCCAGTAAGATATCCTCGCATTTCCACTCTTAAATATATATATATATATATATAGTTGTAAGGTTTAATAATCCTTTTGTTGCTTAAAAGATTACTCTCAGAGAATGACCATCGATTACAACCCCCAAGAACCTCCAAGTCGAAGAATTGATTTTGATTTGTTGAAAAGAATTGAAGACAGAGTGGACAATCTGTCGACTAACTTGAGAGCAATGGCTATAGACCTAAACACAATCGAAAATAGTATAAAGAATATCGAGTCTAACTTGGCTAGTATACAAGAGAATCTGGACAAACGATAAATAAACAAATCAATGAATTGATCACTCGATCAATTCAAATCAGTAGATTATTACACTGAACAAGGTTGACTGTAGATCACAAACACATATTTAACTTGCACAAACTTTATCTTGTAGGATGTAGTCTATACAAGATACAAAATATTGACAAAAAAAAGGGCCCATAATTTTCAATCATCATTTAAGAAAGCTCCAAAACCTTTCTTGCTTTTTAATATTGGTTTAAGACGCCGTTTATATATATACATAATTTATTACATAATAAACTGAATGTAAAGGTGTACTGAACAAAACATTATGTCTTATCGTTCTTATTACATATTATCCCACAGTACGTATATATATATATATCCTATTAAATTTACATTTTTATTTTATTTATTTTAGATACAAGCTCCTTTAGAGCAATTACGGTAAAAATGGACTGAAACAATATGTACATTTGGGTTACACTCATTTGCTATGTATGGGTAAAATGGGTAATAAACTAAATGAGTACAACATAACCAAATGACACGGCATGTGTAGAGCCATTTTTTTTAAAGGATAAGCTTCATAGACAGTATCAAACTAAGCGACAGTACGACAAAAGGCTTAATTGTGACAAGGTTTGCAGCGCTGGTATCAGATGAGCCTGCATTGGCACCAGAGCTGCTAGAGCTGGCACTTTGGATGGAGCTGGGTTTGGCTCCAGAAGGAGAAGGAGCACTCGAGGATAATGCAGCAGATGAATGAGATAAAGATGCGCCAGTAATTGCGGCACTAGAAGAAGGGGCACCCGAACTGAGGCCCGTGGGGACACCAATGGAGGAAGGATGGGCAGGAGTTGAGGAAGTCTTGCCAGAAGAACTTCCAGAAGAAGAAGAAGAGGATGAATCACAAGTCATTACATAGTTGCCAGGGCAGCATGGATCGTCATCTCGGTAGCAGGAATCACTGCACTCTGTAGGACACTCTTCAGAACCATCGACACCTGTATCAAGAGTAGGGCACACTCGCTGGATACACATGATGCCAGTGGATTGGGAAAGAGGGCCAACCAGTTCAGTGGTCTGAACAGCAGCAGCACAATAGGCAGTGAGGAGAACTGAACCGAGGAGCAAAAGTCTGAGAGACGCTTGGTGGCTGTCAGAATAACGCATGGCTGTAAAGGAGTGGGAAAGAGATACAAAGGAAGTAAGGGAAAGAGAGAGCGAGAAAAACAGAGCAGGTGTCGTTTATTTGAACTAAAATAATAGCAATATTTTTTTTTAAAAACACAAATACAGACAAACACATATAAGTTGGGTGACACATGTCCGTTGCCTTGACAACCAATGTCTAAGATTACAGTGAATTTGTATGTGTGACATGAGAAATGATATACCATTGTAATTCCGTCTTTTTGATGTTTTAGGAAATAAGTGAGAAGCCTTTTTATCTTCGTTTGTACTGAATATCCATATTTGTAATCTCTCTTGGTACTGATCGGTACACAGTTCATATTGAATACACAGCATATTTGTTTAATCTTTTTCTTTGCTTTTTAGAGCATTATTTAATTACCCAAATGCTTACTGACGGTTCCATTTTTATATTAAATAAGTCTTTTATATATATACCTTTATTGCCATTGTTGTTATTTGAGTAGATAAAGTAATCACTAGAAAAAAAAGTCTTTATTATTATGATAAAGGAGGTATTCAATATTCTTAATATTCGGAATTTCAAGTTTAGTACTTGAAATCGCCCTCTTCGCCTACAGTTTTTCCAGTGCTTCCGGTACCAATTGGTCACTTTTCTGAAACTTCAATTGGCCACCTTTTAAAGCATCATTTGATTACTTTTTTTTTTGACCCGTAAGGCTACTCGACTTCTTAGATAGGCATTTTACTTGAGCATTTGGGGAAGGTATTTATGGAATGCTGGATGTAGTTTCATATGTTTTGAAGATGTACTCTCTCACAAGCATCCATCATTCGATAGGTAAGCGTCTTATTGTCCTTAAGTTTCTCTCTATTAAAATAGTGCTTAATATCCTCCCAGAACTGCTCAATTTTGTTTAGCTCAGACGAGTAAGTTGAAAGGTACGCAGGTGTGTACCCACGACGAATTATAGTAGGGTTAACGATACTGTGGACATGAATGAGAGCATTATCCATCACAATGTGATACCCCTTCACTTCTGGAAATTGATCCATAATATCCATTGTGTCCACAACAAACTGCACAAAGTGGCTGCCGGTGATGTCCTTAGGCAGACTGAGCCGATCCTCAGGAGCCTTTCTTTTTGTAGCACCAGCTACCTTTCTCCTCTTCACATTACCGACTTTTCTGATACTTATATTGATAGCGCCAGGAGATGATACTCCACCTAGACCAGGCTTTGAGATATACTTTATAGATGGCGTTTCTTCAATAGACGGCTCTTCACGCTTTGACCAGACTTTTCTTCTAGTCATGGTGACATTGAATCCAGATTCACCAAGGAAGACACAATTTATGTGCTAGTATATTCCGTTAGCAATCCATTCAGCCGTCCAAGATGCCCTGGCTTCTATAGATTTTGGGCTATTTTGTTGAGCAGGATGACGAGTAATGTTCTTTAACCTGAGGTTACATTCGTTCTTCATGAATACGACTATTCGTGTCTTCTTGATTGTGAGTTCCTCTACGCCATCCTGGATAGTTAATGTAGGTCTCTCGTCATATAATCGTACCGAGTAATTAGAAATCTCACAGGGACGATGAATCCTGGTGGGGCACGAAGTTTCTATCTAACCGGGCTGATTGACCGCAACCACCTGTCCGGGGCCCGGTTTCTTTCTCTCAACCTTCATGGCAAAATGGCGTGTCCTAAAAAAATACAATATATTCAATTAATAGCAGTTTGCGACCTAAATTTATACTTGACAGTAAAGACATAATAATTAGTCCCAAATAAACTATATCAATAGTCAGTTATGCAGAGCAGTATGAGTTGTTGTCCTTAAACTGTGACGCAGTCTTGTTGAATATTTAATTAATTATTAGCCTTTTTGTGCGTCAAGCAATAGCAGCGCAATTCATTAACTACATGAACTAATCTTGTAAATCGAGCAGAGCTGGAAGATCACAAATTATTGATTTATCATCAACAGCGGCTCTGGATATATTGAAATTAGATATTCCAATTGATCAATTTAACGCAATAATTGATGCAGCCAATATGGATCCGGTTCCAATGTCCGCTTATGCCAGTGATATTAGCAATGCACTCCATAAAGCTCCATTATCAGCATTTGCATTACGCGAGACACTGTATGATGCTGGATATAGTAAAGTCTTTGTTCCCGTCGCCTACTATGACGCTAATTTTATGGAAATAACTATACGTTACTTGCTGTTGTATTTGGGATACTTTAATATTTGATATCATATACGAACCCAGACAAAAGTACCTGTCAAAGAGGTAGATATAAATGATTATCCAATATGAAGCTCCTATCTGATAATCAACCTTGTAAGCCAGTTGTACATTGCTAATAACGGTGAGACTGAACTAGGACGGCTTAAAAGAGAAGTTTATTCTACTGATCAAAGCAAATTTGATAGAGTTCTCCTCAAGGTTGGAAAGAAATCAATTAGCCCAGGTCTTATCGAATTTTCAGGAGAGATCAATGACAGAACCTCATCTCGAAAAAAAAATTCAAAATACATTGAAAATCTGTATAGTAGTATGATCAAAGTTATGAATGGTGCTAAAGCCAATCGGATGTTTTGCATGGGATGTTACGGCAATACAGCATCCTATGTCTCCAGCTTATGCTAAATTCCCCCCTTTTTTTTGTAATAGGTTACTATATCTACTTTGGAAAGCTCCTTATAGTTGATGATACGATGGATAAGAGAACCAAAGTAACCATGGTAACCCCCAATACGCCAAGAAAACCAAAAGCATTTATCAAAGGTATTCCATTGATTTTTGGGTAGAAAGAGGCTGTAACAAGTCAAGCTCTTGATTTGAATCATTTCATTTGTATATTAATTAGTTATGTAGCTTTAAGAAAAAATAAAGAAATAAAGCCATTCTGTACGATTATCTCTACTTGTGATCATTTTGATCAAAAGTTGGTCAAATTATTTTGCAAAACAGTGGGTAAAATTTTCAAAAATCCAGTAAATTGAGAACGGAAACTGTATTAATTTCGATGAATAGATAGTAAAGCAACAGAAATGAAAAGGAACCCTTGTAAACACCCAGACCAAGGTTTAACCCTTCTAGATTAAACTTATATATATATTCTTATAATCTGAAGTCCCGCTAAAGAAACATTTAAATTTAATCTGAATTTATCAAGCACAATATATATATATGGATCTTGGACTACACTGTGATTAGTCTGGTTTATCAATCGTTGGTGTAATGATAAAGTGGTGCAACCTTGATTTAATTTCATATTTCACATTTTTTTTTAAAAAAAACATAGAGTTGAATACCCTGTTTGGTCATAAATTTAATTACACTGATGATCTTACTACCATTGACCTTGATAGGTATAGCACTTGAATAATCACAACAGCAACAATGAAAGGCAAGGTAAAAGAGAATGACACACACACACAAAAAGATATGCAGATGATTTTTTCTTTTTTTGTCAATTGGTCTTGGTCACTTATTTTGGAGTCTATGTAATATTTATAGAATTATCAGGACTGGTGCATGATATAAAGAATACATGCCTTTGAATAGAATATAAATCAACCTGTGCATGCCTCCCACTTTTGCATATAGTCTGTAGCCAGCTAGAGCTTGTAAAGCAGAAAAAGAAAATAGAACTCAATGAAAGTAAAATAAAGAAAAAGTGAAAGAAAGGCTTCTTTATTACTATATATTTATTTCTATATACTTTTTCCCTCCCTAAAAAAATCATGTCACTGTGTTATGAACTTTATAGACAATAATGGCAGTGGTAACGGTAATGGCAATGATAATAATAACAATAACAATAAGAGAAATATAGCGATAGTAGCGGTAGATCATTGAGGAGGTAAAAGGGATTTAGCTGTCGAGAAAAACAAAAGAAAAAAATAGAAAGAGAAAGGGGGTGGAGGGAGAGAGGGAGAAAGAAAGAAAAAGTATAAAATAAAAAATATTCTAAAGAAAAGAAAATGTACCCTTCTCCTGCATTAATGTACAGAAATGAATTTTAAAAGCGTTTCTTCAACAGTTACAAAAATAGAATACGCCACTATCAAAGAAAATAAGCAAGACAAAAAAAATCCCTCCAATAAAGCCTGCATTTAACGGTTAATATTCTTATTTACTTGCTGCAACTGACAAGAAATAATAATAGTATTTTCTGTTTGCAATTTGTTCTACTCACCAAATATAGATATATATATACATATTTACATATATACATATAGTCTATACAAGGCAAAATACAGCCAATTCAAGATCGTTCATAGAGCAAAACTTTATGCTTCAGAAATATGATATATACATTGGAAATACACATATACAAAATGAAAGAAAACAGGAATAAGAGATCACAAAACAAGGTACACCCTTCCTTGATATGGTATTTTAATACAGACAAGGGGGGGGGGGAGGAAGAAACAAAAAGGGGGTGGATTTATTTTGTGAACTTGTATTTGTATACAAGCATGGACAGCAAAATGAATATGAATATGAATATGAATATGAAAATGAAAATATAAGTTAGTATCTAGCCACTCTGAACACCTGTTGCTGTTCTTCTAGACTACACGAGAAACGTGCATTCACCAGATTTTATATTATCCTATGTTGCTTATAAAATATTGCACAATAAATACAAAAGAAGAAAAAGAATAAGAAGAAAGGCCAATATTGCTATAATTGAATGAGTAGCTTTCTACACAAAAACCTCCTTGCTATTCAACCATTATCTATAATATCATATCGTATAAAATAAACACACACGCACACATACACACACTATTTGAACATCGATTACTCAAAATGCTATGAACTTCTTCTTCTTCTTCTTTTTCTATTGACAGAGAATAAACTGTAAATTCCAGTATCAATACAAAGTAAATGCTTTTAAAGTTCTGAGAGAAATAAGAAGAAGAAGCATTTGGATCTATAGACGCATGTCAGCTGTTAATAGCAATAGATACATACATGCGTGTCTTTTAGAAGGAAGGAACAAAAACAGATCAACTGATTAGCTTTACATCAAATAATTTAAAATTCTGCTTGGATCTCACATTTCATCTTCTTTATCAATCATTTTATTTTTATTTTTATTTTCTAAGCGCTCTTGACACTTTTGATGCACTGTGAAAATCGTTATTAAAGACGATCGGTGTCATAAAACCAATTGTGCTTGGCTCAGGTATCCTTTCTAGGTTGGATAGATATTGTGAGTTTGGACGTGCAGATCCTTATGTTACAAATAGGTAGAGTACATAAGAAAATAATAATAAGTTTCATCTTGGCAGCCATGGTAGCACAGACCTCAAAAGATGTAGTTTGACTAATTGAGCTAAAATAAGATACGAGTTGAATGATGAGATCATTTATTTGGGCTAAATGCAAGAAAGCACAACTATTGCAAAGTAATATCTGGCGCGTCAGTTAGATGTCAAGTATTGATATCATGTTTATAGAGCAAGTATTATTATTACTACTCACTCATATATATATATATATATATATATATACAGATAGCTGCTTTACTATTTTGGATTATTAGATCAGTTTTAAGGCTATATTTATATTCTATAACCTACCCCCAATACATTCATATATCCATATATAAACTTTGTAGATGACTCGCCCCATGTCCCTTTACTACACTCCAAATGATGAATTGGATCTTGTGTAGGGTCTCGGTACCAAGCATGAGTTTATCCACCAATGTATTACATACCCCAATCCCCAGGATAAAACTATTAGAAATAAAATTACATATAAAGAGTAGTTGCTAGGGTCTTTCACGGGATTCTTCCGAGATAACCACTACTCTGACAGTTTCCAAGCAAAATTAGTTCATCTGTCACCATGATCAAAATCCCTTTATTATTATTATTATTATATATAAATATCCTGCCTTTTTGAACCGTCTAATCCTAAATGGAACAAGTTCCGGTGTTTACCAGTCTTCCCTTTTTCGTTGGCCTATTAATTGCAATCCTATTCTTGGGTTCATCCAAGGAAGAAGAATAAGAAGAAAAAACCCCAAAACCTGGAGCGTTGATTATAATTTTTATTTCAAGGGTTTAAATTATTACTTTGGTGCTTTTTTTTCTATTTGGTTCTATTTCTTTAAACCACTACACACACACATATATATATATATATCTTGGTCAACACTTGCTTGATCAACATATCAAAGACGTGATTAGTGTAAGTACAAGTTTTGGCGTGGGAGCTTTTTTGTTCTATAAAGAATACGAAGTAAGAACATGCGTGCATATGTGGCTCTTGTAGGCTTGTTTTTAGATGAATTGTCAACAAAAGTATAAGCCATATTGTTAATCACCAACAATATGAGCAAGTACCTTGGCGTCTAGATGAAATAAGCCGTTATTTTATCAAAGGTAATTTATAAGCAATACACACACACACACATATATATATATAAATACATAAAAAAGGGGAAAAGTCTGATTGTTACAAGTGTGTTGAATACAAAGAATAGGAGATTCACCATGCTTGTCGGTGGCGTGACTTGATTTACTAGACTCAAGTGGCAAGATTACATAGGAGAGGTCGAGGGATCATCAGAGAACAAAGAATTGAACCAGAGGACAAGGATGAAGAAGAGGAATACAAAAGCCTGCTAAACGAAAAAAGAGAAGTCTCCAAAGACGAAGAGTAATGCTTCTCTCATGCGCTCATTCCCACGTGCAGACTAAATACATCCTATATCTCAACCTGTCTTGACATCTCCTGCATCTTTTGGGAAACAAATAAAAAGCACATAAAGTAGCTCTTTACCCCATGCCAGCCACCCGCCTTTCTCTTTCTCTTTCTCTTTCTTTTGCATTTTCTATCTGGTCTTATTCTATTTTCTTTAAACCAAAAAAAAAAAAAACTGTGTTCTTATATGCGCCTCTTGGATCGTTTTCTTCATCGTCAGTCGCCTAAAGAAGCGCGTCCGTTATCTACTGCCCATCCAAAACACAAAACATACAGATTCTTACCAAAAAGATGGTTTGGTACCTTGTCACCTCCAAAAGAAAGGCACAAGGTCCAAAGTGATGAAATACTATTGAGCCAATGCATTCAAACAGCCCTATCACCGTCCAATCGATGGTCTATGGGAACCTTACCTGCCGATCTCAGGACATCTAATCGACCTCCTCTACCATCTTTTCCTCTCTCTCCTATCCCTGAAAATCCTACAATATCCAGACGTCAGTCTCGAGTGGTCTAGAGTATAGGGTACACCAGCCGGTCAAAAACATATAATCCTTCTTCTTCTATCAAAGCATTTACACTTACATTCACACATACACATACACCTTTACACATACATACATACATACATACATGCATATCTATACCTATCTATCTATCTATCTATCTATCTATCTATCTATATATATAATATCCCTTTTATAAAATAATAATAATAATAATAATAATAATAATAATAATAATAATAATAATAATAATAATAATAAATTATTTCAATGACCTAATACGAAATCATGCATATTCACACTCAACTAACACACACACAAAACACATATATATTATTTTCAAATCTTACCCGGGATTAATTTTTCTTCTTCTTCTACTAATTCTTGTTCTCTCTCTTACACACCTTCTCACCTGCTCTTTCCTACTCTTCTTCTTCTTCTTCTCTCTCTATATATCTTAGAGCCTTTGATATTAGTCACCTTACTTAAACATGCCAAACGTAAAAAGAATCAATTCTGGTTTCAATTGATGTCTAATAGTCTTCTTTCTTTTCTCATTTCTTCCTTTATTCTTTGTACTGTAGACAAAGCCTACTGCTCCAGAGCTGTATGGGTGGCCACTACTTGCTGTCACCCACGCCCTTGAGTGGATTCCAATGGTCACTGATAAAGTTGCCCGAGATGCCCTATTGTTCTCGCTGCGTGGCCGCGCATTCTCGGAAATGCCCAATACACTCGCCATTCACTCAAAATATCTTTGTAACTCTGATATCTCAGCCACATCAATCAACATTGCTCTTGATGAATCCCAACGAAGCATATCCCCCTTTCTCTCCTTCTGGGACTATCACGATGCTTACAGGTCACACAAGACAACACCCTTTGAGGTAACCAAAGAAAAGAAACAAAAGAAAACCCAGAATGAATAAATACAACGTGAATGTTAAATTTTTTTTTATTCTGCTTATCATCGTTATTATTATTATTATATATATATATATAATCCACTCACTCTTATAGGTAGCCAAACTACTAATCGCTAAGCTAAAAGAAACCAATCAAAGCCATTGGATTCGAAATTTTGATGAGGATAGCATTCTTACTCAAGCAAAAGAATCGACCGATCGTTACAATCGCGGTGAAAGTCTGGGTCAATTGGATGGTGTGTTTGTCTCGATTAAGGAAGAAATGTCCATCAAAGGCTTCGAGACCAAGTGTGGCACCAATTTTATCCACGACGGAGAACCTGCTGAAGAAGACTCAACCGTGGTCAAGAGACTACGTGCAGCAGGTGCAATTGTGGGGTGCCAGGCTGTTATGAACGAACTTGGATGGGAGTAAGTGGTCTCTATTGGTGCTTGCTATATGTATTGACTATTCTTAGTACTTTCTCCGTGAATCCCTTCACCGGCACCCCCAAGAATCCATATATATCCAACCACTCTTGTGGTGGGTCTAGTGGAGGTTCAGGTGGAAGTGTGGCAAGTGGTTTGTTTCCAATTAGTATCGGAGCCGATGGCGGTGGATCCATTAGGTGAGATGACACCCTTCTTACCTTCTCCTACTAAATATTTTGTATATTTATTTTAAATATAAAATAAAATAAACTCCTCTATGTATGAAAACCATCAGAATTCCTTCATCTTTCTGTGGTGTCTATGGCCTTAAACCGACCTGTGGCCGAGTATCTGCTCATGGTGGAGGTAAGTCTAATACTTTTTTTTCAAAAACTCGGCTAAAAAAAACCTTAAATTTTTTATTTTATTTTTACATTCCAAAAACAGAGCCTGTTGATCCTACTCTGGGGGTATTCGGACCTCTAGCAGCAACTGCAGACGATTTGGCTCTTACTTATACAATCATTGCCGGACCAGATCCTAATGATCCTCTTTCACTTCACCAACCTCCCGTATCACTTAAGGACTATGATCTCACTGAGACCTTGGCTGGTGTCCGGATTGGAATCTTACCTGACTGGCACAGCGACAATTCTGATGAAATTTTCAATGAGCGCATAGAGCAGGTAAAAGCTCACTTGAAACAATTGGGAGCAACAATTGTCACCACAAGCTTACCCGACATCGACCTGGTCGGTGTTGCTCACAGTATCACGATTTGCTCTGAAATGAGCAGTTACGCCAGTAGCCACACAGACACGACCAGCAGATTCTTACCTCATACGCGTCTGATGATGAGTGTCTCGAAGCGACTCCAGGGCTCGGACTATGTCAAGGCTCAACAGATCCGCACTCGGCTCATGGATCAGCTCCATGAACTATTCTCTGGACCAATGGATCTTATTCTAACGCCCACTACTGGATCCCAGTCCCCTGCTATCCCTCCACAAGCAGCTGCATATGGTATGAGCCATGCCACCTGGACCTTCCGTGCCATGCAATATGTAACCCTGGCCAACCTTACCGGCATCCCGGCCCTTAATGTTCCCGCAGGCTTTCACAACGGACTCCCAGTCGGTTTGCAGTTCATGGCTAGTTGGTGGAACGAAGCACTTCTCCTTCGTATTGCCAAGATCATTGAACGCATGCCAGGTCTCGAAAAGAAGACGGCAGATAGTTATATCGATTGTCTAACCACAGCCTAAAACAGACTACAATTTCTTGGATATTTAATTCTGGTAGGAGTAAATAAAATGTCATCCGTTTTTGAGCCAGGTTTTGTCCTATATACCACTTTACTCCATTCATTCATTCGCTTGTTTGTTTGCTTGTTTTGTCTTGTTTGATTATATATTTACTTGTGTTTATATATGTGTACGCGTGTGTATTTATGTATTTATGTATGTATGTATGTATGTATGTATTAAACCAGTACAAACAAAGTATTAAAGCTTAACATATTAGGGAAATAGTGGAGGTAGCTTTGGTGCAACATGGAACAAGATTTAAAATAAGATTTGAGTTTCTAGAATTGGATGATTTTTGTCTATTTTTACTATTCTAAATTCGTTTAAATAAAATTAAAACAGATCTCCTAATTAGAGTGGGTTCCTTGAGTGTGTGTGAGTGTGTGCGTGAGTGAGTATGATAATGTGTGTATGTATGATTGACAAAGTCGGCGCTACATCATTGAAAGTTGTCCTGGACGCTTTGCCCTTATGCTATCTAGCTCTGATAGACGAGCAAAGTCTGCTTTGCGCTGCATACGAATGCTGGAGAAAGCATCAGTCAAACCAAGTGTGCGACAGGACTCTAGTACGATTCCATAGGTATCATCATCTGGAAGAATATTTTGGGTCTTCATGTAATGCCAGATTGTCATTACTTGTGTCATCTGCGATGTCTTTTCCAACCCATCCATCAAATTGTTGTATGCGCTTAATGACAGATTAATTCGGTATGACCTGGCCTCTTCGTGTAGCAGTACTGCTTGTTTAAGTTGTCCGCAGCCGACCAGGGAGTTAATCACGACTGTATAGGTAATGAAATCAGGTCGAGTTGATTTACTTCTTCTTGACTTCATCTCTTTAAACAATCTAAGAATACGCTTCATCTCGAAAGGCATTTCCTCGTATTTATTGTTCTGTATGTATGGATCGCCCATCTTTCGAGTCGGATTTATTTTACGAGAAAGTAAGGAGATTAACATGTTGTATGTACGAGTGTCTGGGTTTAAGTTGTTCAATTCGATTTGTGTCCACATAGAGTCTGCAATTTCAATATCCTTTGGGTGAAGCTTATGTTTGTTCAATAGCGACCCAATAATGGTGTTGATTGTGTATATATTGGGCTTGACTCCTGATTCTTTCATATCTCGCAACAATCTCATAATATTGGGCATGTCATTTTTGCGAGAGCACAAGCTGATCAGAGATGTGTAGAGAACGACATCAGACCTGATTCCTCGGTTTCTCATTTCATCAAACAGTTCAAATGCAAGGTCGGCATCCTGGGTGTCGTCCTTGGCAATAGCATCGATAACAATAGCATAACTGAACACATCTGGGCTCACATTGTCTTTAGCCATCTTCCTGAACATCCTTAAGGCCTGATCAAATCTATTTTGTCGAACTGTTATAGCAATACAGGCGTTGTAGTCACGGGTCGATGTATTAACGTTCAATCGTCTAAGCTCATCCAAGGCCATTTCGGGACTCATTCCCATGACAAGCAAATGTCCAGAGTTGGGGATAGTGCCACTCTGAAGCATATGTTGATAAACTTCATCCATTTTTTCGATTTCTTCACATTTCTTGAGGGTAGCCAGGAGGATGGCATAAGTGTGTTCGGTGGGCTTAACATCATGCTTGATCATGGCTTCAAATACATCCACGGCCTTCGCATGGTCATTTATGTTTTCATAGAATGTCAGCATGGTGTTGTATGGAGAATCTTCCTTGATTTGGTTGTTCTCGGACATCAGATCAAGGTATTTTCGGGCATTCGCAAGATCACCTCGTTCTCCAAATGCAATAATAAAACGTTTGTAGACATCTGCCGAACATGTCTTCTTTTCTTCGTCAGTAAATAACTCGTAAAAGTCATGCAAGTCTTGAGTTGTTCCAAGCTTGGCAATACCGTTGATCATCGTTGTTATGGTAACTTCATTCGGTTGGGTATTCATCTTTGACATTCTGTAAAAGATCGTACGAGCTGATTGAAGATCCTCTTTATTGATAAATAGATGGATCAGCATGTTGCATCCGATTGTAAATGCTTTAGCCAAATTCTTCTCTTCTTTTCGCTTGTTGATTTCTCGCATCACGGTTTGCATCATCGGGATGGATTCTGAACGTCCGTCTCGTTTAATATGACGGCAGACGAGAATTAGGTAGTCTTCGGTAATGTCGTCGTCGTTCTTTACTCGTTCGAGAAACTCTTCCCAAACATTTTGGATTGGGATGTTTTGAAGCACAGGGGCTTTTGTTCTTGCCTCTTTTTCGGGTTGAGAGTATGCAGGTATGAATAATTGAGTACAGGGAGTTGTATGAAGCGAATGGCGATGAATGTTTTGAAATCGTCGAGTGACAGCTGGACCTGCAGCTGAAGTACTTGTTACCCAGCTAGATCGAATAGGCACACGCTGAATGAGCGGCCATGCCTTTCCAATTGTTCGTAAAAATGACATAATATTACAATGTGGATCCTTCGACCTTTTTATCTATTTTTATTTTATTTTTTTAATTTATTTATTTATTTTTTTAAAAAAAAAGGAGGGGGGAGGTGGGGTATAGTTTTTTTTCTTCCTTGAAAGAAAAGTGCAGTCACAATGCAAGAAGTAAGACATAACATGGTAAAGATAATAAGATGAAGTATATTGTTTGTTTGTTTGTCTTTTAGAAAAGAAAAATAGTTTAGATAGCTTGGAGTTCAATAAAAATATCTTTCAACTTGTAACTAAAGCTATGGATAAAAATGTGTGTATCCAGGGTATATTTTTTTTTGATGTTCCCAAGGATTGTACTAGAGATATATTTTGGCCTACCACTAAAGGAGAAAAAAAAATCAAGTTTTTGAAACCAATTGCCAATTTTGGCAACAAGCTAACGACTTTTTTTTTAGCGTTGAATTCTTACCAAAGATTATAGTGTTTCAATCTTATTTTGGTGCTATAGAACTGAATTTGAAAAGAAAGATTTTGTTTTCAATCCAAAGAACCATCTTGAGTGCCGAATGGATGGTGAACGCTTGCTTCTAAAAGCACCCGATTCTGTTTAGTCGAATATGTGAATCGGGTACTTTAAAAAGTGCCAATTTGTATGTTCAAAAGTTAAAGCTAATTTTATTTTTAAAAATATTAATCATTTGGCATTAGAGAGACCGTAAAATAGCTATATATTTGTATATTCTCTGTATGAAACTACATGAGTATACACGAGACTTTATATCACTAGAGATGCCCTATATTCTGGAAGCAGAAAGTGAAGTAAAAATAAGACAATACTTTTTTTTATATAAAAAGCACTGGTGAAATTACTACACTTATTTGCCTGCATAAAAATGCTTATAATTCTCGACTTCTGTACCTTGAGCTTTTTGATTCCATAAAATATATATATATGTAGGTTTGTAAAATAACAACACGAGAGTTATTTAGCACTCATTTTTGTTTGAATATTTCCTTGTTGTCTATACTAGCCAGGTCGAATATTCTTCCTTTCTGTATTTTGATTTCAATTTATTATTATTATTAATAATATTGAAATGTGTATTCTTATAACCATCTTGATATTCTTAAACCCTTAAAATAAATAGAATATTTCGTATTCTAATTACTCTAAAACAATACGCTATTTGATAAATGGCTATTAGAACAAAGTGTCAATTTTTATAAGAGAAAATAATAGTATTTTATTGACATCAGATTCTAAGAAATGAAGATGAAAATTAGATATTTGTGCATTTCAAAGAGCTTTTATGAAAAATAAAACTTACTTTAGGTAAAGGCGTTTGCCCATTTACTGTATTGTACCATAGAAAGGTCAACTGTATTACACGGGATCTTGACGTGCAACACAGACAAGAGCTGCTAGTATACCACGGAATCTTGACGTGAATATACTAACCTAGACTGCCACTAGAGGAAGTGATGCCCCTGTTCTATGGTGCAATACTTGCCATACCATCCATTCCAGTAATGACAGCTGTACATTACGGAACCTAAGCGTGTCATACAAAAAAGAAATCAGATTTAAAGAAATAAAGCAATTAGAATTAGACGGTGCATTTCAAAGAGTCTGTATAAAAATAAAACTTACTTCAGGATGGACTCGGAGATTTATCGTGTCGTATCATAACAAGGTCAACCGTATTTCACGGAATCTTGACGTGAAATACAGACAAGAGCTGCTAGTACACCACGGAACCTTGACGTGCATCTACTAGCCTAGATTGCCATTTAGAGGACTTAATACCTCCGTGCTATGACACAACGCGTTACTTTTATATATATTAAAAACATGAGCAGTAAATTCGATTAGTCAAACGCATTGTATAGCTTTTTTTAAAATACAAACCATTGTCCAACGTAAGTGTTCATTTGAAAGTATTGTAGGGCTATTAGAATCAATACCTCATAATTATATCAACACAAACTTCTGTTGGCTTACGCAAGCATGAATGATGCAATCCATCACGTGAAGTTTAAATTCCGAAGTGATGACTTAGTTGGCTTACAGAGATCGAAACGATTGAAAAAAAAAATGAAATCAGTCAATCAAATTAATATTTTTTATGACATTACCTATTGATCAAGGTACGCTTTGAAACTGCTAAGTATGTATTTAAAGCTGCAGTTGCTATTTTTTTTATAAAAAAAAAACCGATTTATGTGACATGTTTTTCAGAGAACAAGTAAAAGAGTAATTTACTGCTCTAATAATGACTGTACTATAATATCTTTCACTATTGGAAATGAGTCACACTTTTGAAAAATACCTATGGTATACTTTTCTCTCAACTGTCATCTGAATTGCTACCTTTTTCATTGATGTTATAAACCAAGTATTAGATATCTATTGAATCTAGCTAAAAGAAATTTGGAGAATATTGCTGAAGAGGGCTAAGGGAGAATCGATAGATTATTATATTTTTCAAGAACTATATCTTTGTATTTCTAACTTTCATACATGTGCTGTCAAGGGAAAATAAACATAGAGTAAGAAAGTTAAAGATGTTCTATTTTTGACTTGTCGGAAACTAAAGTTTATGGTGACAAATTGATATGAGCTTGCAAAGTATTTAGACTTTATACAGATTGACAACAAAAGTCTGTGTGTCGTATAGTATATTTTACTCAGGTGGCCTTTATTGGTTTTATGCTTCCAGCGAATAATAAGAGGTATAACGAGCGGAACAACTATTGACAATGTGTATTATGAAAAGAGATATGTAAAACCAATACTAAATATTTTAGTGAGAGGGTCGAGTGAAGAGCTTACACTATGGGAGAAAAATGGTAATTCTGATGGTGATTTTTGAAAAATACTATAAGAATTTTCTAAAATCTCCATTCATTTCTCATAATTTTATCCAACCTGTTTATACAAGGATATTTTATTTTCACATCTAATTAACTTTGCATATGCGTCTGTAAGGTTAATAGTCTTCTCCAGGTACCTGCATCTCCTTGCAAAAATATAAGCCAATGGAATTGGCACCAATGTACTCAATTCTTTATATATATTTGTTCGAGGACCCCCCGTCTGGGCAAGACAGTGTGGTACTAATGGGATCAAGTCAAGGTTGGACCTCCTCAACACGGACATGGTCACACAATAAAACGTGGTTTGATGTATAATATGTACATGTGTCTTATACTCAAGCTGTTAATCACACGCTCTTGGTGTTTTCCCGCGTTGAAATATGAAATTTTATTTAAATATCAAGCACCCTATGGTATTTATAGGGGGATTTGATGGGATAAAGAAGTACATACAGGACCGTAGATTTAATCAGAATTGAATATCATTGAACTATAAAAATATTGTGCTAAGAATATTTGTGTACAAATAATTTACCAATTTTGTCAGACTACAAAATCCATATCTTGAATTTAACTTATAATTGAATTGATGTATACAACAGGATGATCTGTCAGTTCACACAATTTATATTTCTTTTTAGACAACAATTATAACTTTAAACGCAAGATAAGCCTAAATACCAGTTCTTGTTTTTCTTTTTTTGTATTGGGGGGAGAATCTTCTTAAGTAAAGAACATATTTATAAAGTAACATGGTGATTTGGAAGAAGAGCATCTTAAGCATAAAATTGAAATAAACTGTTAATAAATTAAAACAGTGTACATATATATATCTTTAAAAAAAAAGAGAGAAAAAATCAATAAAATAATAATAATAACTGTATTGAAGATGACAAAATTGTATTCACACACTGTATTGGTAACCATATATTATTATTAAACTAAATTTCTCTTGGATCTTCTTAATAACCAAACACCTTTTGGCCTACAGCACGAGCCTCTCGCCCTCCCATGGCATTAGCTTGTCTGACATGGAGAATTATCACGTGAAACGCAAGGGAACTCATTGCCATGTGATCGTATGCTGGGATTTTATGTGTGTATGTGCGTGTGCGTGTGTTCAATAGTTGAAGTTTAAGGAATTAAGTGTCTTTTCTTCTATTTTTTTGTGTGTGTGTGTGTATATATATTTATATATTATCGTTCTTTTCTTTTATTATCATTTGTTCTCTTATTCATTATTTTCTCCGCAAGTATTAATACAAACCATAGAAACAATAAGCTATGGAATACGTTGGAAAGCTGAGCAGTCTGTTTTCCACTGTCCACAACTTTTATAATGAAATCAATCCAGCAACTCTCTCGGGTGCAATCGACATTGTCGTTGTCGAACAAAAAGATGGAGAGATCGCCTGTTCGCCATTCCATGTTAGATTTGGAAAATTATCATTATTGATGCCACAAGAGAAAAAAGTAGAGTAAACGAAACGAAATGAAAAAAAAACTAATTAGCAAATAAACCAGTGGTCTCATTGACCAAGCCAGAATAACCAACTAATAAGCTGAATCTTGGTATAATTAGGTCGTCATCAAGGTCAATGGAACACAAATCCCATACCTGATGAAACTCGGTGAAGCAGGTGAAGCTTTTTTCGTATTTGAGACCGAACATGATGTCCCAGAAGAATTCCAAACCTCTCCGATCATGGGTGCTGTTCCTGAAAGCAAGACAGACGAGGTAAGCATAATCTTAAATACCCAAAAAAAAAAGGAAATAAAAGACTGATTTATAGAGTTGTATAATAGGATCCACCATATCTTGATATTGGCGAATCCAAAGACCAACCTCAAGGTAATTTAATAATAACAATATATTAGAAAATGACAACAATTTGAGTTGGGGGGTTTTTTTTTAAAAAAAAAAAGCTGACAATAGTTATATATCATTAAAGTTGATGTAGAACCTCCGTTGGAGAAGAAAGATAGCTTTGAAGATGAAACCGAAGCAATAGACGAGAAAAAGACTAACAAGTTGCGTATACCCGCTGAATTGCAATCACCAAAGATGATTATCGAAGAGCAAATGGACAAAGTTGTCACCAAAATCGATCCTTACCAAAAGAACCACGATCACGACCATCTTCAACATCATCATCATCACTTGAGTACACCAGAGCAAGAAATGTTACAAGAAGTCACAGAAGAAGTTTTGCCAAAAAATGATTTGATCCCATTGGAAGATGGATCAGCCTTGTTGGAAAGAGTTATTCCAGATGCTATTACTACAACAACAATTGCCAAGGAGACATTTATCGTCAGACCATCAAATGGCGATATCTTCAGTACGTGGATGGATGTGACTCATAAAGCTGTGCAAGATCGGGAAGACGGGGTCGACACTGGAGAGACCAAGACATCGGCAATCGAACATGCGCACGGAGAGAATGAATCGATTGTATTGGATATTGCAGGCTACAAGACAGGTGATAGTGCATGGGGTAAGAAGAATGGAAGCAGAGAGATTTCATCCGATCAAAAAATGGTTCTTGAGGATATGGAGCGTGTAGCCTCGCCCCCCTCCATTGAAGAGGAGGATCACATCCACACCAACCATATGTCCCGTGGGATACTTCAATCTGAGTCGAGCGACAAGGTCAAAGACGAGATCAATGGTGAGATCGAAAATGTTGTCAAGGACGATACAAAAGTGAATGTCAAAGATGACGTCAAAGAGGAAGTTAAGGGCGATATCAAAGAAAATGTAAAAGACAGTGTTAAGGAGGAGATCAAGGAAGATATCCAAAACATAGTCGAGGAGATTAAAAAAGATGATAAAGACGACATCAACGAGGAGCCTAAAATCGATATTAAAGACAGTGTTAGTGAAGAAACAAAGGTTGATATCGAAGAAAATGCCAAGGACAAGGTCGAGACTGATACTAAAGATGACGTAAAAATAAGCGACAAAGAGGAAACTAAGGAAGATGGCAAGAGTGATACCGAAAAGGATGACAAGGACGATGTTAAAGAGGATGTTAAGAATGAGTCTAATGAACCCAAAGAGGAAGTTAAACCAGTCACAAAGTCTTCTTGGGGATGGGGACTCACTCGTCGCAAGACAACCGGTGATTCCACTACTACTGTTACCCCTGCCCCTGCCGCCACCACAGCTCCCTCTAAAAAAGACGAAGAAAAAGAGGAAAAGGAGGAAAAAGAGGATACAACAAGCAAAGAATCTTTAGAGAAGGATGGCAAGGTTGAGATGTTGCCTGGAGAGACTTACAGAATCGAGATGAGTTTGTGCGGATTTTCTGCATTCGGGTCAGATGAAGCTGAGAATGCAAAGGTCTTTGAGAAGCATCAAATCACCTACGACAATTTTACTCATAATCCAAACTTGCTCAATGACGGTCGCCTGGTGTTCCGTTATGAGAATCGGTTCTATGCCGCTGGTCGCACAGGCCCATTGTTCACTTCACTTTTGTTGTTCCGCCAGCCTTTGGCAGAAGGATCACAGCCTGATGCCAATCAAGATGCATCGTCCGACAAAGTATCCGATAGTCGCGAATCCTATCTTTTCGGTAAAGGATGGAGAAAGTGGTTGAGTCGATCTTCTGTCGCTGCACCTACGGCGACTGTTGACGGAGAGCCGGCCAAAGAGCAAGAATCAGAGGACGGTGTGGTGCCACATGAGCCTGCGTCTGGCTCTAATACCGAAACTACCACATTTACTACAACAACCACTACAACGTCTGTTGGATGGACTGCTGATCACAATCACCCTGGAGGGGATGAAGAGGATAACCTTGTACCGCGAAAGAACTACGCCAAGACACTTCGTCTGACTTCTGATCAGTTAAAGAGTTTAAATCTTAAGAAGGGTGTGAATTCTGTTTCGTTCTCTGTGTCTTCTGCTTACCAAGGCACGGCGACTTGTGCTGCCAAGATATTCTTTTGGGATCACGATATTCAGATTGTGATTTCAGACATTGATGGCACGATTACCAAGTCAGATGCATTAGGCCATGTGTTTACAATGATTGGCAAAGACTGGACTCACAATGGTGTAGCCAAACTATACACCGACATTCACAACAATTCTTATCATTTCCTTTATCTCACTAGCCGTGCCATTGGTCAGGCTGACTATACGCGCGACTATCTTCGCAAGGTTGAGCAGAACAAATACCAGCTCCCAGATGGACCTGTTATCATGTCTCCAGATAGATTATTTACTTCATTGCATCGCGAAGTTATTATGCGCAAGCCAGAGATGTTCAAGATGGCCTGTCTAAAGGATATTCAGCGATTGTTTGGTGGTCGCGATCCATTTTATGCTGGTTTTGGCAACCGTATTACAGACGCAATGTCTTATCGCACAGTGAATGTACCAGCCTCGCGTATATTTACAATTGACCCCAACGGAGAAGTTAAGCTGGAGTTATTACAAGGATTCAAATCTTCATATGTTCACTTGAATGATCTGGTAGACCAAATCTTCCCACCGATTAACAAGGCGATTGACGAAGAGTACAGTGATTGGAATTACTGGAAGGCACCTTTGCCTGAGATTGACCTTCCTGAACTCGATCTTCCACCTACTTCCCCAAAACCCAAGCCGATTGTGCCTGATCCTTCCGTGCTACCTCCCTCTTCTGTTGCATCGGTACCAGAGCGTCAATCGCGTGGTATTCTTCGAAGCTTTACTTCCCGTCAGCCTTCAGTGATTAAAAAACCTCAGATTGTTAGTTCAGCGAGTACGCCAACTAAACTCAGTAGTCCTGTACTTGAAGCAGAGAAGACACCTGAAGGTTCTATTGCTGATACAAGTGACCGCGAATCCATTAGATCGACACCTGGGAATACTTCACCAGTTAGTTCGAGTATCATGAATAAGGTGATCTCTGGTAGCCTTGGTGGTGTCCGTAATACACTTTCTCGGACCTTCTTATCTGAGCCTCCCAAACAAGATGTTGTGGAAGATGAAGAAGCAGAATTTGATCCAGAGTTAGATGCCTTGGATGATGACCTTGACATGGAAAGCATTCCATTTATCTAATCTTTTTTTTATTATATACTTTTATGTTTTTTGACCCTCTTTCTCTCTTTCTTTATTCTCTTGTTTTCTCTTCTTCTTCTTTTTTGTACGCACTCTACATATATTTACACACACACACACACACACATATATATATATATATAAATTCTGTTAGCAGATAAAGCATACACTTCTGTTTGTACTTGTACTTCTTCTATTTGTTTGAGTTTTAAATAAAATCACCAATCAACTCAATAGTATATGCAATCCCACGCCCACAAATTACGTGTTCTAATCAAGGTGCATATTTGCGTATTTGTGTGGATGTGTTTACAAGTATAAATCTTTATTTCAAAAGGACTTCTCAATTGGGACTTGTCATATTATATGTGTGTAAAAGAAACTGGCCTTTTTGTTTTTGTTTTTGTTTTGTTTGTTTTGTTTATTTATTGATTGATAAATTGATTGATAAATTGATTGATTGATAAATTGATTGGTTTGAAACATAAAGGCAAAGAAGGGGATATATACAATTATTGTTTTATGAAGCTATTTACTCATCAAAGACAGTGTTAAAGGCAGGACTAAATGTATCTGCAGACTGATAATGCTCAGGGTTTGCAACATGGATTTTCTTGTCAGCATAATGAGTATCCTGTACTGACTGGTTGTGGTTGTTGTACAAAGCATGGATGGGATTGTGATCTTGGATATCCTGGGCCGAAGGTTTTGATTGTTCAGGAGTGGATGGAATCAAGGTATAGGCGCGAGACCAGGCTACTACAGGGCGCCAAACAGGCATGGATTTGCGAGAAATACGAGCAATGATAGACATTCTTTGGATTTGCAAGTGAATAGAGAAAGTAAGATAAGAGATGGCAAATTAAGAGAAAAAAATTGGCCTCCTTTTATACACACAATTGAACTGACAGAATATATTATAACCCAACAACCCACCAATTCTCCCTCCTGGATTCCCCCCAAAATTATATATATGCGTATATAATAAGGAACCTTATCTCTCCTCGGATAGACTACTTAAATAGGCTAGAAAAAGGCTGTACAGAACCAACCTAAAGATACATATTGGCTATCTACCTGACCAAATTGTACAAGGCGAATAGACCACCCAACCACCAACCCTGAAGATCATTGGCCCTGTTAAGCAACTAATATGGCAACATGCAAAACACTATATAAATATATATATATATTATTATTATTATTATTATTATTTTGCATTGACCTACTCTACTTTAATATACTTGTCAACGTCAATCTTACTACAATTCATTTACTCTAGTGCATTTCTCGGTTTCAATAAATTATGTTGTACACCTGATTTCCTGAGTACATTATAGGTCCAGGACAGTCTTACCTAGAATGTGGAGTCTTCTACGAATTTCTCCATATTTTTACACGGTCGGAATAGATCTTGAAATTTCAAATCAGAATATATACACACTAGATTGGATAAGGATAATTTATATAATACATATATATTTTGTTTTTGTTTTTGTTTTATATTAAACTAGTCTTTATATTCTCACACCAGAAATGAATTTCAATGACTCACATAGAGAGATCTTTAAATTGTATAGAACATTAGTCTTTTTTGAGTTTTGCCTTCACAGATAGAAACCATATTTGTATTTTGTGTACCATATATTTTATGGGCAAACCGATTACTTCCGATTAAATTCTGGGGTTGGTCTAGAGCCCAAAAAGCAAAAGAAAAAAAATTAAGCTAAAATCTTCGTAGCTGGACAAAAAGGGTAAATTGAAAAAAGCGGTAATCCATTGTATGTGGTTGAGAATTGCTATTATTTTGTACTGAAACCAGTCTCAATGAAAAATACCAAGATCTATCTCAATTTCTTTAAAAATAAAACAATGTCCTTTAGTAAAGTCAAGCAATTCGTTATACATATGGAGCCAACGGTTTTTAATGCACCGATTTTGTTTTATTGCACTTTGTATGAAGCACTTTAAGTAAGTTGTTCAAGTGCTTTGGGGCTTGTGAAACATAAATGCAAGCCACATTGAAAACAAGTCATATGATTGGCCACAATATCAGGCATTCAAAATTATCCACTAAAAAACGTCGATTCTCTACCACGAATCCAGCCACAAGAAAGTGGCGCAGATGATATATTGAGAGGATCAATACTTATATTAAATCAGTAATTATAAAAGAATCAATGTACTGGAGTTCAGTAATTTTAGGTCATACAAAACAGCAATATATTTTACTCTTATAATCTGCTCGCTGGTGCTATGAATTCAATAAGCTAGGTTTACAGAAACACCATTTTATTTATAAAAGTAATTGTTAATGATACAAGTCATAGAGAGCATGTGGATGGCCAGTCTACTATAGACAGGCTAAAATAACTTTATATATAAAATTAAAATATGAAGATACACACACATTCGAAAATAAACATATATTTATTTGTGGTATTATCTTTGGTAAATAAAGATACCATTATGGTCTTCTTACTAATAAGCGACATCTGTAAGTATCTGCTCAAAAGGCTGGACTTTTAGATATCCCCAACATATCAATCTTAATTTCTGAGTAAAATAACAATGATCATACACTGGAGGAACCAGCCAATGCACAATTGATTAAACTCAGTTATCCCTTTCTTTACTGCATATGAGAATAATAATAAAAATAATAAAAAAAAGAGTCTCAAATTGGGTACATCTTGAGCAAGATTTCTCTTAGGAAGACTTTTGGGCTTGTTTCCACTTCAAATATGCAAGGGAATGAGCTGGTCCTTGTATAGGGGTTGGATTTACAGGTGGGCCTGCAAACCACAACAATGGACCGTCTTCCTGACGTTGATACATAGACGCTAGATTAATATGTATATATATCAGTATAAATATACATAACCTGGAAAATCAATTGCATTTTTTTTGCAATTAACTCTTGTTCCAACAAACACTTCCTCAATTAAATGGTGCTGTGGAATTATTTAATAGTCATGTTGTTCTTCTTACCTGTTTCGGAAGGAATGCGTTCCTGAGAAGGTTGCATGCGAATGGGATCTTGATTGGCAAAATTTGGATTTACAAAGGGAGAAAATCCTTGATTAGGACTATAGTAACCCTGAGGACCATGACTATGATTGCCAGCGTAATTTGGAAATAAGTTTTGATTATACATGAAGTAAAGAAAGGAAGGAAAGAAGGACGAATAAGCAACGTCATCAAAATGATCTGGAGGCGGGGTACTTTACATTTTTCATGCATTTGATCCACATAAGAGAAAGTACAATGTTTATTGGTATTTCCATAGATACATAGTAGATGTGCATATACACATATACACAAATACACATATGTATATGTACATGTATGTATATGTATTATGACAGGTTAAGGATGCTTTTATTGACTGATACTTTATTTAATACAAAGAAAGATAATTATGCAATAAAGCCAACTAATACGCCTATCAGTAATTGAGTGCAGTTATACTGTGGACCAATAAATACGAAAGCAATCCAAGTATGTAATAGAGCCTAATGCATAGTAGTAGGTCTGTATATAGCATATGTCTTTGCCCATTAACTGGCTCCAACCTAAATTCAAATGCTTGATCTATTTCTTTTGAGGTGTTCACGCCTCTTTGCCAGCTATTCAGTGGCTTGTGACTCTTTTAAACCACAGGATTAAATTCGTCCAAACCAACCCACAAGGCAATAAAAGCCAAAAATATTATCTAAATCTAACCAAGAATGGGTAAAAAAGGAAACGAACGCCATAATCTGGACGAAGATGCATTTATCCTCGAAGAAGGATCTAGCCAACATTATGCACGATCCCTTGGACCTCGCGGAAATCATCAACATGAAGTAGAATTTGCAGATGGCACACAGAAGTTGGTTGTCCTCCCTCCGCGATTCCGCAATACCATCTGGGTGAAGCGAGGTAGATAAAACTCAATTGAGAATATATATATATATAAACAAGAATAAGAATATATTCAAATTAACCCGGATATATCTGGTAAAAAGGTCATTTTGTTATTGTAGACCCCATGGTAGGAACTACTTCTGACAAAGTTGGTGGTGAAATTGTACAAGTTTTGTTTCCAAAACATATCAAGATGCTGAAACAAGCTGGAAAATGGTAAGATAGTTCAGTTTTTTCTTCTTATCATAAACCAATAGGCGATCATGTTTATAACATATTTGAACAGGCCTGGTACATTTGATCGTAAGGATGAACAAGCCAAAGAGGATGATGATGAAGAAGAGGAAGAGGAAGACGCCAGTGACGATGATTTGTTTGTGAACAACAACAGACCTGTTATGTCCGGCACTGAGAGTGAGGAGAGTAGCGATGAAGAAGATGATCGGTAAAACAGCAACAACAACAGCAAAGAACTTGAGCTATATGCTGTAGATTTGGTTATCTTTGTGGATCAAACTCTTCCATGTACATATTTGCATCTGTTACCCTCTATTCTTCCGATATTAACTTTTGGATAGACACAAGACAATATTACATTAGACTGGATTCAGTAAATTATACATCTATCCTGTTGATAAAAAGCAGAAACTAAAACAGAAACTAAAAATAAAGAAGGAAAAAATAGAACCATAACCCAACCGAGAGAAACATAGGGATGTTGTGAGCTCATACTGACTAGATATCTATGTTATATTTTGTAATCTCAAACAGAAATCATTGTTAAATATCGTGATTAGAGGTTGTGTATCTTCTCCATATATGCACATCATTATCTGTCTTTTTCCCACTCATCCAACATCTGTCTACTGCTGCAAGTCTCCAATCAACAAAACCACGGCTGAGCTCTTCTTTCAATTCAAGTTGATATTGGCTGAATGTTTTGGTTTTTACCGCATCCACGGCTTCTTGGACATAGTTTGCTTCATTTTTGGGAAGAATACGCATTTTTGCAACTGTGTAATCAGGATATTTCCAGCGTGCTTGGATCCAGAGTGGACCAGAACCAGTAAATGAAAGCCGGTAAATAGTGGGATCTTCTGGATGGAGAAGCTTACATGACGAGTGCAGTGTAATAAGACCAAGGGGTATATTAGACTTGTTAGATACTTCCATGAAACGAACTTGGTTAAGCTGCAGGAATGCTAGATGAGAATAAGGCATCTTAATTTTCAGACCAACTTCAGGTAGCACAGAGTCAATAATCTTTGTCCTGTCAAGACACATCCATCTAAGCTGCCGGCAACGGTATGATATGTACGTAAAAAAATCTGTTTCTAAGATAGCACACGATATCTTGAGCAAGCAAAGACCATGGGGTGTACTTGTACTTATTGGAGGAGCACGAATCTTCTTGGCAGTGAGAACAAGTCGCTTGAGTACTATGCAATTGTCCATAATCATAGCTATTGAAATAGGATTGCTTATACCGTTGATTGTGAGGTCAACTACGCAATTGAGTTTCCCTAATGCAGTAGGAATAGTGTATGGGTTGTCAATGAGTATATCGGTTCCAAAGGTTACTTTTTTAAGCGTATTTGCATGAAAACAAATAATTTCACTAATGTTTGTCTCTAGAAGACCTTGAGATTCAAGGTCATTCACAAGACAATAATTAAAAGTGTCTAATGCAACATTGGAGTGTTGGAGTAGCCGCCAAAACACAATCTGGCTAGGCTTTGATCCTGGTGTACTATCTACATTGACGGTCTTCAACTGGCTGAAAGCAGGAGGCAATGAATCGAACAGTGCCAAAGCTTCGTCGTGAAATAGGTCCGGAAAGTACATGCTTGACGGACTGTTCCATGACATTGTATCAATATTGGGATACTTCCGTGCAAAGTAACATAGCCATCGAAGATCCATTTCTTGAATGGCTAATTTTACATTACTGATATTCGGTATCGATGGGAATTTTTTTAACCTCGAGGCCTCGTCCAAAGAAAGGGTGCATAGCCGCAGGTCTAATCCAAGGTAGGTCAGACTAGACGGTAGATTTTCATGGAAACTCTCGATGTCTCCAAGTGACGCATTCAAGACTTGTGCCCAACACGTCTCAGTATATTCCAAGTGCTCCAGACATGTAAGATACTTCAAACATTCTACGAATGCTCTCGTCTGTTTCCCTGACTCTCGTCGTTCCAGGCTAATAAAGAGATACGTCAAAGAATAACCCCACAATTCCCAGTCTTCTCCTAGTCCAAATGTCTTGCTGTTTAGGCTCTGATGAGGTGCAATAAAGCGCTTGATATTTCTAAACTGATGTTGGAGCAATCCCAACTGATCGCTACTCATGTCCAACCATGGGCACAGTTGTATTTCTTCAATACGACTACTGTTGTGTGCGTAGATATTGTTATCGGAAGCCATAATTCCACTTATGGCTTCTAGTTTCCATTTGTTCCGGATGCTTATTATTCCTTTAAGTGATGTCTCAAATGCACCTGTCCACTGATGACAAGTCTGTGTGCAGCTTAAAATATCACTTGTTTTCAGGAAACTCGCAATGTGAATGAGAATCTCAATCGGCAAGTCGGATGCCAACATGAATGATATACTTGAGATGAGTAATGAATGTGAAAAAAAGTTATAAAAAAAGGAATCTGCAGGGATACTAGTTTAATACTCTTTGGTTTAAAGTTACAAATCTACCCAAAAATAAACCATGGCGTGCATTCAACCATATTAAACGAGGGTACACAAGTAATGTTTACAAGAATATGTTGAAGATATAAGTAATATTGGCATTTCTTGGGTTAAAACAGCACAGGAATAAATAACTTGCAAATTGACATCTAGATTATTGGGATATAGTTTTTAGGTCACTATGAGTGTTAATTGATACTCTGACCTTTATTAAATATTTCTATATAATAAAGAGAAAAGGTGTAGGCATGGTGCTTAGGAACTCAAGCGAATTTTCTTGGCAGTAAAATTATGGGCTCATCAAGAAAAAACCAAGATACTTTTTTTGTAAGACGCCGCAGACACAAATGCATGACGAGCTTATATTGCTGCAAAGGAGAAGAAGGCTTCATAACTTGTTTTTTGGTTTCTATTTCTTTAATAATGCTTTTGTTGTTTAGGTTTTTATAATTCAAAAAGCAGGTACTGAGTAGAGCACAAGGAGACATCTCTATTAGCCACGTCTTCGCAAAGATGCGGGATAAATCATATGTTTTCTTTTTGTCTCTACTGGGGGGAGAGAATGATCTAGAGAACATAGTGGGGAAGAAGATGGAAAATTGGGAATAAGTTGGAAAAAACATGCTGGAGTAAAGCGGAATAAAACAGAGAGTTTCTGAGAGAAACCGAGAGTGGCCGATAGTGACCGATAGTAACCGAGATGAGAGGAGAAAGGTTTTGCCTGAGATCTTGAGGAAGGGATGTTTTTTTTAGTCGAGGCCCGCACCACAACAATAAACTTCATAAAGCGATGGTGGTGATATTCCATCTTAATTACCATGGGTTGCCCTCATGCCAATAAGAGTGGTGGAGAAGAGTTTGAGAGTATGTGTGACCCAGAGATAGAAGGAGGAAGAGATATAAGGTAACCTTGGTATAGTGATGAATTTTTATACTACCATCATAGTCCCAGTGAGAGATACGCGAAGGAGCCATGAATTCTAGAGGTTAAATACTATTAGTATATTCTACCTAGATTTTATCCTAATTTCGAAACCTTTCAGCTACCCGGGTTCTCTTTCATATATTTGAATGTGAATATGACAAGATAAATAAAATTAATTGTGCCTGATCCTAGTACAATGCTTATTAATTGGGGTAGACTTTCTTTTAGTAAACCAAAAATCCCCCCTGTAGCTATCATCCCAAATTGAAATAAAAAAACAAACACACATAAATAAGCTTAATCGACAAAGGGTTATAAACATTTACTTTGTGTACGCATTTGTGGGAAAAATAAACTCTCATAAAACTTCAACCAAGAATGGATAAAAGTTTTCTATAGTTCAAGTAGTTACACGAATGTCAAGAATTAATGCCATACAATGGGTTTTAAGGAATAGTTCTGTTTTACGGCAAATTCTTAGTGTTAAAATTCGCTTTCATTCTTAGTCAATATTTAAGTATATCTCACTTTTACTTTATGATTTACCACATAGTGGCTTGTTCAAGCCATTAAGACATACAGATATACTATAATATACATGCTAATATCTTGTCTTGATATCCTTAATAATTCTAATGTTCATAGATTGGGGTTTATTTCTTTTTTGTCTTTTCTAAACTATTTATGCCTCGGCTTGAATATCTCCTAAAGCTTCTCCCATTTTGATCTTCTGGCCAGCAGTAATGTCGAATTTAAAGTTGCTTGGGGCTTCAAATACTAACACAACAGTGGATCCCAAATAGAAGCCACCCATTTCGTCACCGTAGCGAACAGCTTTTCCGCCCAAGATCTTGCTAGCAGATTTGTAGGAAACTTCGGTATAGGTTCCAGTAGGCAAATCTTCTTGACGGTTAGTCTTGAGAGCCTACATAAAAAGATAGCCGAATTTTTACAAAAAAATAAGTAATAATAATAAAAACAAAAACAAAAAAAAAGAATCTTGCGTGGCAATACATATTCCATCCTGATCATTTACTATCAACGTGAGCCTTACCTCATCAAAGTTGATCTTGATTGATCCAACATTGGTTGCGCCTACAGGAATCATCGAAAAGAAACCATGCTTCCATTTTCCAAGCAGAACAACACGCTCATTCAAGACAAACAAGTTGTTCAACAAATTAACAAAGTATGGTGAAACAGAGAAAAGTTCACCAGAGAAGTGACGGCGAGACTGGACAACCCAGTTGGCAGGTGAATGGAAGCGATGGTAGTCTCCAGGAGCGAGATAAACCACACAGAAGAATAGAGAGTTTCCAGGCTTGACGTTGTGTCCGTGCATAGCATTATAGTCTTCATCTGAATGACCGGGTGAAAGGTCTGCGGCCTTGATCATCTCCCGTGCTTCTTTGTCATTTGTCTTCTCGTCCTTGGCAAGACCATCAGGGCCAACTGAACTAGGGGCCTTGACAGCGTGATTGTCACTGCCAAGTAAGGCATCAAGACTATAGGTGATACCATTAACGTTGGCAAATTCTTCTTCATCAACGACGGTTGGCTTCTGGCCATTGACAGCATGTGCCAAGGGACTAGAAGAGCGGTGAGCTTCGCCGAGAAGAGCATCGAGGGAGTAAGTGACGCCCTTAATCTGTTCAATCTGTCGACCTTCTTCGACTACACCAAAATGTAAGATCTTTCCATCTGAAGGTGAAACGAGTGTAGCGTTTGAGATAGGACGCACACCGTCTTTAAGTTCGCGGTAGAAGAAAGCAGACAGATTGGGGTAGGTATAAAGGTCTGGTTCTTTCATCTCATCAAAGTTACATCCAAAGATCCATCCATAAAGACGATATCCAAAAGGACGCAAGAAAGTAGGAATGGTCAAGGAGTTGAATGCACCCCAGATACGTGACATTGTACGCAAAGGAAGAGCAGCAGCAACGTGAACCTATACGTAGATGGATGATAATAAATGATAATAATAATAACGAAGTTTTCGAAATTAATACCATTTTTGCGTTTGGACACATAATTGAGTGTTTTCTTTACCTGCCAAGGACCAGTGGCAATATACTTTCGGTCATTGTCAGAGTTCAATCTGGTCTCTCTCTCTAGAACACGGCGGTATTGGATATAACCAATGACAGCGAAGCCAAGTCCGACTGGAATAGGATACCACTTTACCTCGGTACTATTCCAGCCTTCAACAAGACGACCTATATGTACAGACGGTAAATATTCATAGCTTTTATTCTTTTATTATTTCTTTTGGCTCTTTCCATATTTCCATATTTTCATTCTTATTTTATTACTATTACCACTATACTTAAAATTACGTATATATGTTTCTTAAAAGAGTTGAAAAAATAGGTATGTATATATACAATATGACATTACCCCACAAAGGCTTCTGTTGTTGCTGTTGCTGCTTCTGCTGCTGTTGCCATTTACAACTGGTATGGAATGATTGAGGTCGCCATCCTTGATTTCCATGTAATGTAGCTCTAACAGGTCCCATTCCTTTGTTTCCCGTACGAAATGTGCCTTTAAGCAAACCACGAGAGGCCAACGTTGCTGCAATGGCCATGCTTCAGTTTTTTCTAAAAAAAAAAAGAACCTTTCAGGTTTCTTTTAATTTCTTTTTTTAAAACACTTTGACTTGTTGGCTGAAAATGGGTAACTATTTTAACAGTCACGTATAAATGGGCATCTTCCATCCTCATGGGTGCCATGGGTTTGTGAGAATACGTCTTTGTTTAAACGTATATCAATAATAAGGAATATGGTAATACACAATAAGAACAATAATTTTTTGAAAAATGTATCTTATGAGGAACTTTTTTCTTGTATGTGACAAACCTTTTAGATTTTTTCAAGTTTAATTGTACCTCTTAGATAGATAGAAGAGGTTGATATTTTGAAAGAAATTGATTCTCATGGTTTATATATATCGATAACCTAAGGGGAACTTTTATATAGCAGCATATTGGTGCTTATAGGAAATTTCTCTTATTGAATGATAGCGATGGTGTTAGGCGTTAAGACAATATCGGTAAGAGAACGCAAGAATAAAATAAAGAAAAGGGGGGAAAATAGCAAATAGAAGAAATGATGAGGAATATGATATACCGGCTACGAGAAAAAAGGGTGATTTCGAGGGTGATTTAAGAGGTGATTTTAGGGGTCAGTTTTCGACAAAATCTCTTGCTAAAATCGCCTTTTTTTAACTTAAATGCTTCTTTAAAGTTAAATAAAATGTATTTCATGATGTTTTTAAGTAAATTAGAAAAATAAAATTATATTTATTTATTTTTAAAAGAAAAGGCATGTTTTTTATTTTACTGATTGTGAGTTGACGAGAGCTAGACGATATGCCTAATGGCCCCGTCCTTAGTATCGTGGACGAGGCCAGCCATCCCTTTGATGGACTTCACATCCACTATCCTTTTGTCGCCCTGCGAGCGGTCGCTTGACACTGGGAATAGCATGCCCGGCAAGGGCCTGACGTCGGAAAGACTCTCGATGGCTGCAAAGAGCCTGGTCACTCCTTTGACAGTGTGGGAAAAGAATTTGCGAACAAATGCATAACTTTCAAAAAACATAATTAAATTATGATTAATATCAACTTTTAACAATGTAGAATATAACTAACAACACTTACTCCCACATATGTTCGCGCACAACAAGATTATTAGCTCGAACATGTCTACTGTCAAAGGAGGACTGGACTCTGTAAACCACCGAGTCTTTCCACATCTTCGTGGTGCAAACCACCTCGTCTTGTTCCTCGAAGGAGGAAACTCCTTCTCCTGCCCAGAAAGGCAACAATTGTCGGATGAGGTCCTCCCATTCCATGCCAATGTTGTTGGCCAACTCGGCCATGGTATACCTGGTTGGACTGGACCACAGCTGAGGACCAGCAACATCATCACTTGCAACCTCGAAGTTGCTGGTCCTTCTGTCAGCTGGTCCAGTCCTGGCTGGACGGTTGCCGCGGCAGTGGCTGATGGCCGCCATCCGGAAAAGAACATTTTCCATGTGTTTTCCGGGCTTCTTCCTGGACTTGATCGCAGATGTATATGCACTGATCGTGCGTTCTATTGGATGGCAGCTGTAAGCCCGCAAAGGGCCCATTTCCCACAACATGAAACTAAGATGAACCAGCATGTGCTGGTTCATCACGAATATGTTGGATTTCAGCTTACTGTCCGAAATCTTGCACCTCAGGAAGGAGTGCCAGCGGCCAATTGCCCTATAAAACTCATTAAAAACCAGATAGAAATATATATCTAAGCGACTTACTGCTCCACGGCAACAATGTCGCTGGCGGTGATACTCCATTGTTGGACAATGGAGCACGCCAGCACCAGGTCTCTCACGGCCTGCTTTGCATCTGCAAAGCAGAGGTGGTCGATTACCACGGTTGGTACAACGGACAAGAGGAAGTCCATCCAATCGACGGCCTTCCTCTTGCCTTTCGATTCCTTCATTGACCTCCACGTACCGGTAAATGCCGTCGGTATATCTGCCCTGGATTTGCTGACTGCTTTTTCGATGTCATCTAGGCTAACATCCAGGGCAAAGGGGTACTCAAGTCGTTGCAGGCGTTCTTGGAGGTGCATTCCATGGGATTTTCTGCCCGGGCCTGCAATCCCAGGGCAGAATTTGCCACCAAGGGCTTGATAGAGCTGGTGCCCTGTTCCATGACCTAGGAGGTGCATCTCGTCCTGGCCGAAGAAAGCAGAACTGGTGAGTGTGGGTAACTCTGCAAAGGCATTGTATCTCCCACCACCAGGTCTCTGAAATGATGTTAGTGGTTTTTTTTTTATATTTCATAACTTACACTTCCTTCGGCTCTGCGAATACTCCCTACGTCCCTCATGGGGGCAGGACCCTCGCCCTCCAAGAAGCACATGGTCTTGGCAATGCTTTCACCACGCGCAAAACAATGGCGGCAGCCGTATTGTGCATTGTGATGCATAAGGTTCATCAAGTCAGAGACAGCTGGAGTATCTCCAGTTGCCATGACAAGATGAACCTTACGCACCACATACTGGTCTCCGTCCCAGCACTTCACTCCACTTGTCTGCAAGGCTCGCAGGTCGGCAAGGATGGGCTCCAAAAACGAAGCAATGTTCTTTGGGTGCTTAGGCCCTGGGATGATGGCCAGTTGCATCATGTTACCCTTCTTGTACCTAAATATATTATATTAGTATATATAAATATACATCTAAATCATTGTGTTTTATTTACCTTTCGGCAGGGTTGATATTCATGTTAATAACATGAATGATGCTAGCTGACATGGCGGCGTCCTTGAAGGGGTTGAACTGGTCAACAAACATAGACACCACTATGTCACCCTGGCCAACAATCCCACCTGCGAGCAGTCTATAGATGTCATCTCCATCAAGGATATCCTTACGGACATTCGATCGGCCACCAGCCAAAACCTCCGTGCCATAGGCGATCTTTGCCCGTTCTTCAGGGTGAGCTAACTTGAAGCGTAATTGCTCCGAGAGAGGCACTACCTGATATGTCTGTACAGGTGATATAGTGCCTCTCTCACGCTGGTACCGCGGTCCATTGCAGTGAGGGCACACCTCATTCTCAACGATTGAGTTTCCAGGCTCGACATCGGGGAAACAAAAGCACCCACTGGCACACATGTCATACACCTGTGCCTTGACTGTGTATTCTTGCTTGAGCAAGGTATCCACCTTGTAATATGACAGAAGTGAATCCGTTTTAGCTAATACAATAGTAAGTATATGTAATATAGTAGATATGTGATAGTAATAAACTTATGGGATCCACGTTCTGTCATGTACTCATTTACTATCTTGACCGACTGATCGTAGATTTCACGAGAGACACTGTTCTCGAAAAACAAGGAGAACAACTCCAGACTAACGGCCTCAGCACGGCTGTTGGGAGTGTACATTGGTACAAACTGGTCGTACTCAATGTCAGCCTGCTCTGGTTCATCTTGAGCCATTCTTTGGTTTCGGACACGTGTGAACCCTGGACCATTCTCTAATATATTTACACAGTTAATATTTAACATAAACATAAGCATATGTAATAATGTTATTATTAACATTTTCTTTTAATTGTTCTTACCAGAGGTGTACTCCACCTCAACATTGCCGGATTCGGCTTCCATAGGAGAAGTTTCCACTCCATCGGCCTCAACGTTGTTAGTGGCAGCAGCCAAGAATATGTCGATATGAGATCCCCCACGATTAGACAAGTAATTTTTGGTTTCCTTGAGGTTATAGTATTCTATACACGATCTCACTCTCAATTTGAGTTGCTTGGTGCTAAAGAGGCGCATAATTAAATTACACCCTGGAAATTGTTTGTGTTTAGTTTTATATTCATTGCTTTTGATTTGAAATGTCTGATTGATTAAATCGTTGATGTTTAGTGTATTACGTATAGAATTGCGCGTGTGCAAGCGTGTGAAGGCGTGTACGTGGGTGTGTGTGAGAGAGCGTACGAGTTGTTAAATGAGTGAATTGGTAAATAAATAAATAATAATAAAAAAATTTGGGGACTTATATTTATATTTATTTTTGCCACATCAATTTTATATTATGTCATAAATACAAAGAAGGCAATTTAATTTCTGCCCATAATAAGAGTGTGTATATATATCTTTAGCAAGTAATAATTTTTATGCATTCTTGGTTTTCTGTCATGCAACCTCACTTTTACTTGGAACCCTTTAAAAATAAACATTATTGACTGGAAACTTAGTGATATGGTATAGTATGAGTCCTTTGAGAAAGTCACAAACCTTGAATAACCAATCATGTTAAGAAATTGTAAGGGTAATTACAAGATATTTAAATCTTTAGCTTTAATGGTTGGATTTCTTCTCGGAGCACCCCAACCGTAACAATAAAATCACCAATGGAGAGTTAACTTTACTCGAGAAAATATAGAATAGGCTCATATATACAGCTTGAAAACCAATACCATTCACAAATTGACGCATGTTACATTTACTAGCTACAGTCTAAATAATGAATTATATCAGCATAGGATGGCTTAAGACTTCAACAAAATGTGCTTATTGAAGTTATTAGAGAAAATCTCTCCAATAAAAGTATCAACAATATCATATTTTAGGAATTATAGAGCATATATTTTTTTTTAAAAATGATAGTCTCTAAATTAATCCAAAGGTCCAGTGAATAAGATAGCTTTTTCTTTTAAAAAAATACTTGTCGATATAGAAATTATACACATAGTTAACTCAGTTTTTAGACAATATGATGTCTTGTGCCTTATTTATTAGTCAGAAGGTATAAAGTTCAGCAACAATAGAATTAATATAAATGAATATATTAGTATATCAATTGTACATCATTGTTCTTGTGTACTTCTTTTAATGTTTTCCCTTCATTATGAATTATGAAACAATTACATATTAATAAATCTATGTTTCATAATGATATAAAACGCTTTCTAGACCAACATCAGTACCGTATGAATTGTCTCAAACTTCTAATTCTACCATATATAAAAGGTCTACAGATTTTTTTTAAAAAAAAATGCAGAAACATAAAGATACTCTTGATTTCATGTAATAAAATCAGACCAAGATATCAAATTCTCAAAGTATGTTTGTTTGCTTTTAAAAAAATACGTTACCAAGGTGACAAAACACGATTCAAAGCTATCAGGATGGGGTGTTTATCTACATAGCCTATACATATATATATTGCATTTTCACCAACTGTGAATAAACTCTGAATTTATTATTCGCTCACTTGTAATTACATTTTTACACATTTTGACTATAGTTAGATTTACGCTGATTTTTAGTTTCGTACAAAAAACCAGCTACTTATTTTATTTTTAAATATCTAATATCTAATATCAATCATAATCATTTTTATATACTTTTGAAATTTCTAGTATACCAATGGAACTACGACTATTAGACATTTATTAATACAGAAAAATCATTTTTTGTGTGAATTTGACAAGGAAAAGATGTGAAAATGCATTAACGAAATTTTAGGTTATCGTTTTATGGATCAAGATGTTGTCTTTTTTTTTTATTCACAAACCCTATTTTTATAAGGACTAGCGCTAATCTTGTTTTGAGTATAAAAATTTAACATATACATTCTAGTGACAATACAAACTACTTGTTTGATATTATAAAAGCTTGAAATAGTAAAAAGAATAAAATTAAAAGGGATCCATTTTGATTGTTTCCCAAAAAACTACACTCTAGAAACCTTTAAAACTCTTCATAACCAAAATGCTTGCTATTTATTAAAATCTCCAATATGTTTCTTCCTTTTAATATATTTTTCTTAATAGTATATTTTACCACACAGTCCATAGTCTGCACAATATTAATATTATTTATCCCTTCCGCATTCATTCAATTTATCACTTTTGGTTTTTATTTATTTATTAGTGAATGTAAAGAGACAATGTTCTTTTTATGATATTTTTCAATTTTTTCTTCTTTTGATATAAGTATAGTTTCGAACAATCCGATTAATTTGCCTCGGCCTCCAGAACGGTTCCTCTCTTGATCTTACCCCAGCCGATAAGTCTACAAAGTAATATTAAAGTCAATACATTTACAGCAACAAAAGTCGATTTTATTTTCGCATATATATATATATATATATATATATATATAGTAATCAATATCGTATAAACTTACCGCCAATGTCTCTCAATCTTTCTAGAGATGGCAACCTTGTCACCAACTTCGGTACATGTAGGTCCAGTCAAAACAATCTTTGCAAGATCAGCCTTGACACCGACAACACGACCACCAGTAGAAACTGAACCAATGTTGACAAGTAGTAATTCACCCTTGGTAAGTTTGGCAACCTTGGCTTGCTTCTTATCATCGGTCTTTACACCCAACAGGCGACGCAACAAAAAGTATGAAATCTCGAGTTCAGTGTAGATAGAGGGAAGACTTCCGGGGTAGCCCAAAACTTGACCAACGAGACGATCACCACGGCAGAGGGTAGGATCCATCTGAGTTCCAACACCTAAAAACCATGCCCATAAGGATGACAGCGAATTATTTGCAGTAGTACCTTACCAATTAAACCACCAGGAACAGCAAACTCAAGCTTGTTTGTCTCGGCAGCAAGAGTCAAAATCTTGGAAAGAATGGGTCTGGCTCTAATTTTACCTTCCTGATCCTTAATGATTACACCAGGACGGACTTCAATCTCATCTCCAATCTTCAAAACACCCTTCAAAATTGATCCACCTGCAACACCACCCTGAAGATGATTGACATCAGCACCAGGTTTGTTAATATCGAAAGAACGAATGACGATCAAACGGGGAACGGCAGTAAAGTCACGAACAGGCACGGGGATCTTCTTGGTAATGTATTCATTAATGGCATCAATGTTGTACTTAAGCTGGGCAGAGATGGGAATAATTGGTGCACCATCAGCAACAGTACCCTTAACAAAAGAAAGAATATCCTCATGCTGCTCCTGTGCTGCCTTTTCCTTGACAAGATCAACCTTGTTCTGCAAGATAATGACATGCTTCAACTTCATGATCTCAATAGCAGCCAAATGCTCAGAGGTCTGGGGCTGAGGACAGGATTCGTTACCAGCAATCAACAAGAGTGCTGCGTCCATGACAGCGGCACCAGACAACATAGTAGTCATGAGAATGTCGTGACCTGGGCAATCGACGAACGATACATGTCTGATTAACTTCATCTTGCTACCACAGCCAACACGTTCACACATAGGGTGGTCCTCCTTGGAAGAGCCGTATGATTTGTAACACCCGGGACGGGGGCATGCCTCGTTCTCACACTTGTAGATCTTTGCGTTTGCATAACCAAGCTTAATGGTAATGTTTCTCTCCATCTCGTTCTTGAAACGAACGGTCTAACCAGCAGCTAAACCAGGTCAATAAACCTCCTTCCACTCATAAAGACGCGTAGTCCGAGATGATGGTGGTTACCTGGACACCAGAAATAGCTTTGACAACGGTGGATTTACCGTGAGCTACGTGACCAATGGTACCTTTTTATTGTTATTTTTTTTTGGAAAAGAAGAAATTATTAGCATTCATTAAATTCCAAGTTTAGAAACAACACACATATACATATTAAATATTGAATGTATAATTTTTAATGGATATCTCTATATACATATATTTAAGTTAAGTTTGCCTTGTAGAAGTTTTTTTTTGGGGGGTGTTAAGACCCCGTCCACTTCAATACCGCAGTATCGATTTTCTTCTCTTTTTTTTCCCTCTTAAAATAATAATAATAACAATAATAGTAGTAATAATAATAATGATAAAAATAATAATAATAGCAGTAAATAGATAAGTAAATAAAGCTCGTATTTACCGATATTGATAGTGGCCTGCTTAGAGATAACCTCATGAGACAATGGGTTCAACTTGGAAGTATCAATAGAAACTGGTGTAATTGTAGTGTCCGCCATGATGCCTTCTAAAGCTAATAATAATTTAAGTCCATGATCTGGTCATCGGGAACAATACACCCTGTGACTTACTGTGCAGTTAATGAAGATTCCTTTCGATTGTTGTGTGGGATTAAGAATCAGGATTGAACACAACTTCAAAGCACAAATTGCGTAGAAATGACACTCCAGGTTGAATACGCAAAAAACAGTTTAGTGGCTAAAAAAAGTTCACAGTCACGTGAATCAAAGAGGGACGGGGTCAACTATTTAAAAGGCCGCCAATAATTTTTTCGGTGTGCAAAATTGAAGTTGGGTAACAAACGAAGAAACCAAAAATATTTTAGTACTTTTTGGTTATTCTCATCAATTGGATAAATGTATACATATGAAAGTATGTTTTTTTTTGTATATTTACATAATGAAGATCTGAAAGTTTATTTTGTATAGAATGTTTTTTTAAGCAACCGCGAAAACAAGTAATACTCTTTCTCTTTTATATAATTCTACTCTTCCTTCAACAATGATTTCTAAAAAGAAAGGTATTGTTACAATTAGTATTTATGTTAATAAGGATAAAGACCATTAATTAAATACCTTTTGCTGCCCAATTACTACAGGAAGCTTTGAAATAATGATGCTAAAGATAAACAATGCAAAAAATCCAACAGATGCAGCCAATGGCTTCTGAAGGTAACGGATTGAAGAATACTCATAGGTGATCTATTATTCAATACAAATCCTTATTAGCCACTTGTTAGGAAAAAGAATGTACTCATTGTAGCTCTTGCCTGAATTGGTTGAGAATGCTCGTTGATCACATTAAATTTCTTTAACACAACCTTGTAATGACCAGTAGTATCAAAATTGGTAAAGTGTTTTGTGTGTTCAATAGAATCCAACTTAAAAGGAGCATTCACTTTAACGTTTCTATTGTTTAATGTGTGGCGTAAGTTTTAGGCCTGATCCATTTGCATATTAATCATTGAATACTTACTTGGCGCCCTCAGGAAGTATAACATTGACTTCAACTTTCTCCACTGCCATATCGATTACATTTTCCACAAACTTGAAATTAAGAATATAGACTCCACTCTTTTTGGAGTAACGAGCAAAGTATCCCAAGTCAATGTTGTAGCCATGGAACCAGGTGTAATTCCATCCGCCATACAGAGGGTAACGAGGCTTGATATCCAAAATAGTAGCCGAAGGTCCGTATGTGAGAGCGGATGTAGATACATTACCAATGTCATCCCGGTAGTAAATATCACGGGCATGAGCTGGAAGTTCAAGAGGAAGATGTTGAAGCACATTTGTCTGAGCATGAACGGATCTTGAAAGCTGGTACTTGGCACGGTTAAAGGGCTCTTCCATCCTAAACGACAAGAATTCACAATTAGATTCCACCCACGTTTCTCCTTTCGTTTTTCGCTTTAAGGAATTCCCTTTCTTACTTTGCACCATCGTGACGCAGGGCAAAATGCTCTTCAACGGCCAGATTGCCACCCCAATGCGATAACTGAAAGTCACGGCGGAGACTGGTTAAGGTCAGGACAGGCTTAAGGTATTCATAGTGGCAAGACAAAATGTTGTAGCTCTCGGCAGGGATATTCTGGAAGGGACCATAGATAATCTTGTTACCAGTCTTGACTACTATCTCATCATTTCCTGTGTATGACAAAATCTTCTCATTGGGAAGTCTAAAGGACAGTTCATAAGAAAATTATATTCCAGAATATAGAAAAAACTTACTGAAGGGTAGTCTTGATTTCCTCGGTGTTGTAGGGAGAGAACAGATAGACATTGCCATTGAAAATCAAATGCTGTCGAGAAATCTGGGGCAGCTTCTTAGGAAGAGGTTCAATAACGTTGGTGTATGCAACCTTGACTCCAAAGCGAATCTCTTCATCTGGTTGTAAAGGAGAATCGAATGTCACTTTGTACAACTGCAGTTCCCTAATACCAGGGCATTAATACTCGATTCAGAATGCGACAATGACCTTGTTGCATAGCCTTACTTTTCAGAATCAAATCCGGCCTGTTCGATAGACAGGGCGGTCTTTGGTCCCTGGCGTAAAAAGGCATTGATAGACGCGATGTTCTCCTCATCCTGAGCTTTGAAAGTTAAGTAGTACTCATTTACTGGCTGATTTCCTATGTTCTTTGCACGGAATCCAATGTCCTCGTGTACAATAGGAGTGCGCAAGTCAATAATACGAAGGACCTTGATGTTTTGGAAATGAGTAGGAATTGGAATTGTTGTCTTTGAAATGGAATTTGTAGGCGATGTAGCCGATGTTATAAAAGCACAGCATAATACTAGCAGTGCACCGAGCCAGATACGCAGCGAGGCACTCTGCATCGTTCTAGTCTTATGAGCCGAAAACGCGTGGAAGAGGAAGCAAAAAGCTGATAGATTAAATGAATCCAAAGAGCGAGCCAATCAATCGTTGATGCGTTCAGGCCTCACTTTCGGGAAGTCTAAATGCACCAGTGATCTGGCGCCAAAATGGAAATAAAAGACAATTGTATGTATTGGTGCTTATATGCGGGTTGAAAAAAAAACAGTCTTTGTACAGATACTTCTAGTGTATGAATTGTAACCTTAATATTTATTGAATAAAACAATGTACATATTGTTCACAGCCTTTGCTTAAGTTTACATTGGTTATCTATACAAAATTGTGGATTTTCAAAGATAACCTTTACCAAAATCCATGCGAGCATCTTATTGCGGCGAGCCAATTAAAAAGTGCCACGTCATCAACAATATTGTTTGTAAAAATCTTCAAGTATGGAAATTAGCTCTTCCTCTTTTTCGCATTACCGTTTCGTAAAGTTAAATCAACATGGCTCACGCAAATGTCTGGAATGCTCACCCCCGCTCCAACGGCAAGGGTTCTCGTCAGTGGTAAGTACAGTTGCTAATTACAAGGAATCCTCTTAAAAAGAAGAATGTAAAAAATGAGAAAGACGACGATGCACAAGCCACCACAACCTACTGTTTTGGAAAAAAAAACAGCCTTTAATAACTTTTTATATATGATGTATCACAGCCGTGTCTGCGCTCACCGTGCTGGTCTGATCCGCAAGTACAACATCAACATCTGCCGTCAGTGCTTCCGCGAGTACGCTAGCGATATTGGCTTCAACAAGGTAAGAAAAAATGGTTAAATTTTCAACAACGGCATTCCATAACGGTCCTTTTCTGTCCACAAATAGTACCGTTAAAAAATGTACATGAAAGCGTCCTTCCTCTTTCAGCCGAGGAAGTGATGATGTTCTGGGGAGAAATGGATTTTCTTGGTCGCCCGTCTGTAGAAATGATCTGCTTTTGTGTGTACCTGAATATATATAGCAACCCAGACATCCAAATTCAATAGAAAATCATTTTAACAAATAACAACAACATCAAAAATTATTATTATTATTACTATTATTATTATTATTATTATTTTTCTGATTATAGTTCGACATTATATAAAGCCATAGATGAGGTTCAACATGTAAAAACATGTGTGGAGACAATTTAGAAGGGGGAAAAGTGTAAAATATAAGGTTAACATGTGGTTACTTTTCGTTAAGAATTTTTATTATTCAAGTGCAAGTGCTGTGACTTGCCAAGACTCTACAACTTTCTTTCAGTTTTATGAATTGTTATGACTAGCATTCCAAATTACTATACTGTCCTTGACATTCCAATCACTGCTACTCAGGATGATGTTCGCCAAGGTCAGGATTCCAGTAAATGGCTTTTTTTTTTATAAAAAAAATTCTAATAATTACTTGGCAATCCAGCATACAAAAAACAAGCTCTTTTACATCATCCCGATCGTCTCGATGATCAAGCCAGCGAAACTGAACGTTCTAAAGCGGTTAAATATTTCCAGTTAATCGCCGATGCTTATTATATCCTTGGCGACCAAGAAAGAAGAGCAGTATTTGATAGATCACATTCAAATACAGAAAATATATCTTTCGGCGGAAACCTTTCAACCACAGAACGCCAAGCGCATCTGATGTTTTCTGATGTTTTTGAAGAATTACTTAGACCCGAAGGTATTAACAACCTCTCAAAAGAAGAATGACATGAGTACCGTATTGGAATACTGAAGAAATAATGTAGTTGAGCACCCATCTCATGTATGGAGTGTACTTGGTGCCGGTGCTGGCATAGTACTTGGTTTTATTATTGGAAATGTCGGAGGTGCTGCAATGGTATGTACTAAATCCTTATTTTGCTTTTCGGTTGAACAATGAAATAATTCGTATAATATACACACAGGGTGCGGTGGCAGGAAAGACAATAGGCCAAATCAGGGACAACAAAGGTAAGGTTAAGCAAGATAATATAATAGACAAAAATGAAAATAATGTTCTTTTTATTATTATTATTATTGCTTTTATAGGTGTCTCGGTGTATACTGCATTTGAACGTCTAGCTTCTCACGAAAGAAGAGATATTCTAACTGGTTTAGTGACCCGTTTTTTTGCTCATGGAGCAGCAGGTGTTTTAAAACAATAAAGAGATTAATATTTATATGCAATGACAACAACAACAGAATATATAAGCTTTGTTGTAGAATAAGCGAATCATACAATTAATTTTAGTGGTCCAATCTAAAGATAAAAGGCAGTAAGCCTTCAATTGTGGTTTCAGTAAATTCCCCCTTTGTGTTGGAAAGGAGGACAGGGAGATCATCCGGGCCAAACTCGGAAATGAATTGTCTTAAGATAAAATTTAGAGTGGTTTTAGTGAGCTGTTTTATAAAGTAATCTATAGAAATAGATACTTTACCTGCAGATACCACACGGAGATATGTAGTTTTCTTCATCAGACGAAACAGCAAGAGCTACAAACTTGGTGTGACCTTCGCTCTGTGCACAAAATAAGTACTCGCTCTCTACTATCTTTCCCACGGCATCCACTTACAATAGCTTTGCAATAAGTTGTTCTCTCGGCGCACACAGTGGCACCTAAGCAAATTATAAGTACAATGCTATATATTTCCCAGGAAACTTACCAAAAGACGCGTTCTCAATATTACCACCTAATCAAATATACAAATACACACAAATTAGTGAAAAAGGAACCCTAAATAAAAGCCAGATAAATCAATTCAATTTACCCTGGAACAGAGTTCCGTCTTCTGTCAAAAGAGCAGCACCAACACGGAATTTTGAATAAGGTGAATACGATCTATCTTTTGCTATAGATTTACAAAACAAGAATATTACAGAATGAGATTGTGTCAAAGAGTAAAGAAAAAAAACTAAATCAAATAAATTACCTTGCATTGCAAGATTAACGAGATTTTGCTTTACTTCCTGAGTAAGTTCTTGGGCAGGCATAGTGGGATAAAAGGAAAAAGAGGAAAAAAAAGGGGAAGGGAAGGATGCCTGGTAATTTGCAAAGCTAGTACTTATAGTCGGTAATTTAAGGTTTATATATATAATGTATACTTAATCATGGTCATCAGCTACAATTTCAACAAACGAATGAGTGAGAGTAAAACCTGATACAAGAGAAAAAAGAAAGATAAGAATTGAGGGTATAATTTATACTTACAATCCGAACACACGCGTACAGATATGTGGCTATCACTCTGATACCCCCACTATATTTAATATACATGTCCTACCTTTGAAGCCTCGATCAACTCATAGCCTATTTTGACCGGTTAATAATCAATACGGTATTGTAGCCACTTGACACGCACTAAAATTGATTAATACTCTATTAATGGACTTGAGCTTATAAGTGACACACATTATTGGAGTAGGGCGGTTTTTTTTTCTGTCTAAACCCAGTAAACTTTCAACACTGTTTTCTCTTCTCTTTTTGCAATGTCCATTGTAATTCAAGATCCTAGCAGTCAGTCAAATTTGTCTGACATCAAGACAACCCATCTTCATCTCAACTGGACTATATCCTTTGAGAATAAGAACATCGCTGGACATGTACTCTTGGACCTTGTTACGTTGAAGGACAATGTTGATAGAGTTGTATTGGACACTAGTTTTATTGATTTAAAGAGTATTACTCTGGAAGGTAGCCCACTCAAGGTAATGTATATATATTCAAGAGTATAACAGACATATGGGTTGCTAAAATCGAATTATTCAGTACGATTTGGCCGAACAACACGCTAGTCTTGGATCAGCCTTGACTATATATCTTACGGAGCCATTTGCTACTGCTGGACAAATGTTCCAGTTGAAAATCGATTACGCTACCACTGAAAAGTGCACTGCCATCCAGTTTTTGACAGCCGAGTAAGGAAATTCAAATGTATATTTATTGGCCATCAAAGTTTATTGAATCAAACACATTTTTAGGCAAACCGTCGGAAAGAAACTTCCTTATCTCTTTTCTCAGTGCGAGCCAGTAAGTTATTGCTATAGAGTAATATCAAAGTAAAGCATACTTATAATCTTTATTACAGATCCATGCCCGCTCTTTCATTCCTTGCCAGGACACACCGTCGATTAAACTGACATACTCTGCCTCGGTTACTTCGCCCTTGCAAGTAATTATGTCAGCCCTGTCAACCTTATCCCAGCCATCCATATTGGATTCCAATTCAAAGACATATGGGTTCGAACAGCGCACTACTATTCCCACTTATCTTATTGCCATTGCAGCCGGAAACCTGGTTGGGCGAGAAATCGGCCCTCGTAGTACAGTGTGGTGTGAGCCAGAAGTGGTGGATCAAGCTGCTTGGGAGTTCGATGTAAGAATTGGTTAAGCCCGATCAATTTAGCAAACCGATACTAAGGAGTTATTTGCATTTTATTAGGATACAGAGAGATTCCTGTCCCTTGGTGAAGATCTCTTGACACCTTACGAGTGGGGCCGATATGACCTGCTCGTACTGCCACCCTCATTCCCTTATGGTGGCATGGAGGTATAATCCTATACTATTCTTATTCTTGTTATTACATATACGCGGGGAATTTTATGTAAACTAATTTGAAACCTTTTGCCTGATTTGTTTTACAAAGAATCCTTGTTTGACTTTCTTAACACCTAGCTTGTTGGCGGGTGACAAGAGTGCAGTCCAGGTTGTTGCTCATGAGATCTCACACAGCTGGATGGGAAATCTTGTAACGACTCGCAACTGGGTATGGCAAGCAGGGTTTTATATTCTGAACTCTAATATCGTCCAAATTCATAAAACTCTTTTTAGGAACACTTTTGGCTAAACGAGGGTTGGACCGTTTTTGTTGAAAGAAAGATTATTGGACGTCTTCACGGCGAAGCATCCAGACAGTTTAGCGCTATCATCGGTGAGGATAAATTAACGCGATCATTTTTTTTTAAAAAAAGTATAAGAGTATTTATGGTTTTTCTTAAAGGATGGAAGGCATTGAAAGAGAGTGTCGAGTTGTTTGGCCAAGATTCCCCTGCGACTGTTTTGAACACTGATCTCAGCAGTGGAATTAATCCTGATGATTACTTTAGCTCTATTCCATATGGTATGTTGGCGTTTTCTTTTAAAAGAAAAAATTACTTGCACAAAGATCAATTTATTGATCTTTCTTATATATATATATATATGTAGAAAAAGGATTCAATCTGCTTTATCATATTGAAAGTGTTGTGGGTGGAGCCTCTGTATTTGAACCCTATATGAAGTCTCATGTCCAGAAGTATGCCCACAAATCTATCACAACTCAAGACTGGAAGAACCATTTATTCGAATATATGTTGGAAAATAATGGCCAGGAAACTGTCGACAAACTCAATACTATTGATTTTGACCTCTGGCTTAAGGGTACCGGGATGCCACCTGTAATTCCTCAATTTGACACCACTCTTGCCGACATATGCTACACCTTAGCTGACCGTTGGGATAAGGCAAGAGATGAAGAAAGTCTTTCAGAGTTCTCATCTAATGATCTGAACAACATGAGCTCTCTTCAAAAAGGTAAAAGTTAATTTTATGTAAAAAATACGTTTTCTTTTTAATCTAAATTGTGTGAATGTTATCATATTAGTTGTCTTTTTGGAACGTTTATCTGATGATAAACCTCTGTCTCACGCTGCTTTGGCAAAAATGGATGAACTTTACCAGATGACACTAATCCGTAATGCCGATGTTCGCTTCCGCTGGCAGAAATTGTGTCTACTTGCAAGCTATGAGCCTATTTACCCTCATGTTGTTGCATTTGTATCTGAACAAGGCCGTATGAAATTTGTTAGACCTCTCTATCGTTTACTTTACCGCGCCAAAAATGGGTCTGAACTAGCAAGAGAAACGTTCTTAAAGCACAAGACTTTTTACCATCCTATTGCTTCTACTCTTGTTGAAAAAGACATTGGTTTAAAATAGATATATTCTAGTCAAAGCATTTTTTTTTCTTTTTGTTATTTTGGCCTGGTTAATAACTTGTTGCTTTCTAGTCCAAAAAATGTTTTAGACCATTTAATATACCTGTTAATTTAGTTTGTATATGACATTTTATCATATTTTTATTTCATGATTCAATATCCTTTCTTATTGTTGTTTCGGTCTAAAACACGACACAAGTTAATTACATTTACCAAAATATTTATTTTGGAGTAAAATTCATACTTAGGTATTGCTCAAGATATCGTAGCTTGTGTTTTTAAGAAGAAAATATTGACTTTTACCTATCGCTCCAGAGAAGCAAAACAAATATGGAATTGTATTTTCGAGGACCATAAATAAAGATCGGAAAATAGAGCACATTTATCGAAAAAGTCAACGCATCTAGTAACAGTTTAAAACTAATAGATAAATGAGCGCGAATATCAATCATCAGCAGTGATAGTCTGAAAATAAAACAACCCGGACCAAAGACTCGTTGAGAACGTTTGGAAATATATTACATACAGACTGAGGACAAGAATACATGCCCAACAAAAAAAAAGTCTTGAGGAGCTGACTACAGCTGTATATAAACAATAAAATATTAATTCAGCTGAAATATGTAAAATACATTACATGTTCACGTATAATTACATAACCAAACTTAATAAGGGATGTGGGTAATTCACACTTTGTTATTCAAAATACAGTCAAAGCTCGATATAGTGATATGGATGGTGGACAGAAATTTTATCACTATCACTATATCGAGCGTGTTTTTTTCTCACTCCGCCATTATTTAGTGATATTTCTAATGCCGCCGTGAGTGACTACTGTTTTCTAATAGGATTTATACTATTTTGTCTAAGAAACTGGGCTTGCTTTAAAATGCTAAATAAAATATATACTACATTTATTTTTTTATACTACAGAAATAAACTCAGAGCTCGATATAGTGATACTGGTGGATTCAAATTTTATCACTATCACTATATCGAAAAATAGTGATAATAAGCAGGCACGGACCCAAATTTTCCAAAAAATTATCACTATATCGAGCTTTGACTGTATATACATTCACCACCACAGATATTAGAAACCAAATATGGTAGTAAGTTGCACATAAGCAATACTATTGGCCTAGAAATTTTTTCTTTGTGTAATTTCGTGAATTGAATCTTTTCTTTTCCAAATAAAGGAGGAAAGAAGGTTTGGTCCTACTTCAAACTTTTTTGATCACAACAAAAAGCTGTTCAAGTAAGACAAAGCGTTGAATAAGGAAATTCGGAGGTTGTATTGAGTAATGAAGAAATAATTCTGTTAAAATTCGGCAAAGGCAACGATTTTCAGCATATAAAACGACTATGTCAAAATTTACAAACAAGAAAAAATATATGATTTTTTTTGTATCACATAATATTAGTAAAAAATGCCTAACACAAACTATCTTCTAAGACAAAACTCAACTCAATTAATATATAAAAATATATACATATTTTTATTAATATGTTACAGCTTTATTTTCAATTATTTGTTATTAAAGCATACCTCTTTAACTTATAAAAATAAGGCAAACCGAAAGAGAATGACTTAGCGTTTTTTTTTAAAACATTTCTACGAGTTGCAACATTGGTATTAAAAACCAGTAGACCAATGAGAATTTTTTAAATCGATTTTGAATAAGTGTGGGATTACGTCCTTCGCGTTGTTTCTTACTCTACTTTATCGACAAAAGTTTGTTCATTACATGTGTTTACATCTAGTATATTATCTTATAGGAAACATATCTATATATTCTTGTTTTTGAGGTATTTATAATAGAAAAGCAATATAGTACTTTGTGATGCAGTCATTCATCTTGGGCCTCATTTGTTGACAATTAGTTTTTCATCATCTGGTCAAAATGAGTTAAGAGGTAATATCTGCATACCTAGTTTACAAAGTAATTGAATACTAACGATCATTTATTCATTATTACTTGTAGAGATTCAAACTTTTATGAGATGCGTCTTGGCAAATTCAAATGTAAGCTTTTATTTCACTTATTTTTTAAGCTTGAAATACTCATTCATATTTATATTTTATTAGGTTGTGTTTGCCTTCAAGAATCATGAGAGATATGGATTCCCTGAACTTGCTTTTAGCTTAGAATAACTATATTTAATATATTATATATTTCTGCCTATAAATTATATTAAATAACTTCGCATTTTTTTACTTTGAAATAAAAAATAAAAACCGATTTATTTGAAACAGAATATATTTTGAACCATTTTTGATATTTGCGAAAACGCATTTTTAAATCCCTGATTTTTTTTTCTGACCAGAACTATCGCAAAAAATGTGCAGATCCATAAAAGGAAAAAAGCGGCACATCAAATATTACAGTCCTTTTGGGAATATGATTACACAAGAAATATCTCTGGTGGTGTTGTTCTCTCAAAGACTATGCCTTTTTGTTGCTATGTTTTCAAAAGTGGCTTTTCAAAGTAGGCAAGCTAAGGAGGAAAAATTAGAAATTATATTCTTGATTGAATAGAATCTTGGTATTATAATGCCTTTTGGGATGCTTCTGAAGATTTTTTTAGCTATCACAGTAGATAAAAATATAGCGAGCCCATTGAACTTTGTAAAAGTCTTATGGCTATAAGCTTTTACAAGAAACATTATATTCAAGCAGTAATTTATTAGAATTTAACTCGATTTTAAAATATTTGAATCTTATTAATCAAGCACATTTATTCTTATCCACAATAGAAAAAATCAAAGCGAATTTATGTAATCGAAATGCTCAAGCTATTCAGCATCAAAAACAACACCAAAAAAAAATAATAAAATTGAAAATTAAGTATCGAGAAACAACCATCTCTTTTGTTTTGGTATCAGGATACATTCTGTGTATACACTTTTAAAATGTACCAAACAATATACATAACATAATTTCTTATGAATACTGGGAATTAAAGGAATTAAAGCTATAGAACTGACTTTAGCTCATTTGTGTCTCCTCCTCTTTCCCTTCAAATTTTGAACTATACACTTTCTCTTTTTAAACATCAAAAAAATCGCTCAAATCAAGACGTCATATGTAAATAGGGCTATGGCAGCTCGCCCTCTTCCATGTCTATTAGCCTTCGTTTAGGCGTAGTAGTTGAATTAACATCCTCATCATCGTCTACGATGAAGATGAAGCCATTGTCTTCCATGGTATCAACAGATCGTTTTCTGCTCTTTCCAATCAAAGAAACCCGTAGTGGTTCGTCATGATCGTCTTCGCTTGCCAATTTGTCGCTGAATCCAGATTTGTACCATTTGGCATAGGTGCCTTCTGCTTTTTTTACTTTCCGTGCATCGAACAGACTGATATTTATCGGAGCGTCATTTTCAGCTGGCGGATCACTTACATAGTCTTCAAGCCATTCCCATGGCTTTGAGTGCTCCATGCAGTTCTCCAAGTGTTGTTGTTGTTGTTGTGGCGTGATATTTGATGATTGCGATCCAAGTAATGAAGATGCTAGGCGTGTGCTGGTGATATATATATTATGTGTCAAGAATGGTAAGATGCGTTTAACTCGGCTGAGGAACATGGATGGAAGAAATGCAAGCTCCCCGTTCATGGACTAACAAACACACGGATTAGATTACATTTTTATAACAAAACATTGAGCAGTTTTTGAACACTTACCGAAAGGTGTAAAAGGTTCGGTTTTCGTAACTCTCTTGGGACCTCTAGTACAGTATGGATTATAAATGAGATATAGCTCAATAAGACCTATTATGTTTTCCTTACCATCGATTAACAGAGAGACTAAATCAAGGACAAATTCAAAGAACTTTTCTTGACTACCGTTGCCATGAACAAGTGGGTTCTAAAGAGTCAAGCCAATAAAGAGTGTTATTTTCACAGAAAAATGCAGGTATATGTATATGTAGCTTACCCCCAGCAAAGAAACCAAGACTTTAACCCATTCTAAAATATCACACTCTTCTGCCTTGGGGTGTTCCCAAATCAAAGCAGCAAATGGAACAACGAGCTTCAGACGAACAAGCAAGCTGGTAAGGTCAAAATTAAATTAGTACTATAATACAATCTAAGTTTTCCTGTCAATATAGAACGTACCTTGTCCGTATATCTTGTAGCATTACATCTATCCCTTGGGTATCCCGAGAATTTCCTGGGATCCCATCGTTCATTAATAGAGCAATTGCCATATCCTACACAAGCAAGTCTATGTTAATAAAACATTCGTTCAAGCTTTCTTTTCTTTTCTTTTCCTTCCTATTTTTCTCTTAATTAAATATATATATATATATACTTACCACATTATTCTTTACAAGGCTCATAGCTCGAATAGCGTTATTGTATGACACCTGTGCTCCTTCCATAACTTTATAAACGTCTGCACCATCCTTATACCGTTTGATTTGTACGTGAAGGGTTTTCAAAAGCTCGATTTTTTTTGAGGAAGTCCACACATCTTCAGCAATCATGTGTTGCATGATATTTAAAAAGGCATGGCTACGACGAGAGAATTTTGCAGACTCAAAACTGGTCGGAATACAACCTTCTGTTGTCAGAAGCAGTACATTTTCCGGAAATGTAGTTGCTCCACAACCTTCTAGCAGACGAACACCATGGGATAGGAGTTCCGAGAGGACTGGCTCGCGTATTCCATTCAACATGTTTTTAAGAAAAGTAAAACGTCGTTGACTTTTCTGTGACTTTTTGTCGTTACTATCGTCTGAGAGTGCCATGTTGAAGGAGAAGTCGACAAACAAAACAAGTTCTTCGTTTGTACTTGTCGGTGTACTACGTAAAATAGAATCCATACCAGGCGTGGTAGCTAAGTTTGTAGTACTATCGTCTCCGAGAATATGAGGATTGTTGGGGTTAGAGGAACTACCATCAGAGAGTAGAATATTGTCCAGTAAAAGATTGACTTGAACACGACACAGTTCTTCATTCCACTGGCTCACATTCATAAATATGTGACTAAGTTTCTCAACAAAGCTAGGAGCCAAATCGTGTGCCATTCCTTGCCGTTCAAAGCATGGGTTTCCACCAATTAGCTCATCCACAATGGAAAGCATCTTCTTTTTCGTTTTTCTTTCGTTTGCGCCCCCGACGTCTTGTGTCGCAAACCGCTGATAGACACCATCCAGATCACGAATGCAAGCTTGTCTGAAGCGCTCTACCTTTAACATATCTGCCCTTAACATGACCAGCTCTCGTAAAAGTGTGCTACTCAATGGTAAGTTGGCACCGATAATGACAAGATATTCCATTAGACCAAAAAGTGGTTCTATTTTGTCCAGTCCACTTGTAAGGTAGGTTTGTCGCGATGTCTCTAACCGAAATATATCCTCAATCCGCAATATCCAAGGTTGTGAGGTATTGATAGCATCTTCAAAGTTAGGTTTGCATTGTTCCCGTACAACCAAGAGTCGGACAAGTGCAACAAGATTTTTGCTAAATTGTAGCACTCTATGTTCAGCTGCATCTGTGCCATTTGCCTGTTGTGTTTCTTGACTGATGTGTCTGAACCACGGAATAGCGAAATCTTTGAGAACAATTTCTAGACTCACGCAACCATGTACAACAAGAAGGGTAATAAATAAAGGAACCCATGAGTATTCCTGATTCATCTCATCAATTAGAATCGTTCCATTCATAGTTGTCGGGCTGCATTGTCGAGAAAGCCAGCCAGCAATGGCTTCATCAAGTTCTCCAGTAATTGTAGCTTGATTGGATATTTCTTCCATAAGACTGGCAAATGCAGAAACAATTTGGTAAAACTCAAAAGAGCGTGCAAAAGAGTCTTGTGTCTCTTTCGCTGGTACTTTTGATGTCGCCAACTCTATCCGTCGTACTGCTCCAACTGGACTCATGACCTCGACGATACCTTGAAGAATGATACCAATCCAGCCTGCTGTACCTTGGTAGCGTACACACAGAGAGTCTGTGACACTCTGAATATTTGAAGGTGAGTGATCTTGGATAATTTGTCCAAGTTCTGCAGTGATCGGTAATGGATTACTACGATGCCGTGACATAAACTTTGGCTATATATAAAAATATAAAAATGGTCAAGTTAAATACAGATATTTGAAAATAAAAGTAATTTTTTTCTATCTTACCTTGGCTTGTAGATCATGTTGCAATTGTGCACGCCTTTCATCTGATATCCGATATCCTTCCTGTACAAGTTGGACAATATACATCATAATGCAGCGTTCGCGAATGCCACGAGCTTGAAGATCTTGATGCTAAAACATAATTAATACAATGAAATATTATCGAATCACCTATTTGGATTTCTGGCTGCTAAAATACCTTTTCCCACAGTGCCTCTGCTACTTGGTTACTATAATTCGTGAGTTTCCATATGCTGGCATATTTACGAAGGGAGTCTATAATATATAGGTACAATGCGCGCTCATTTGTCTTTTTGAGCACCCATAGCGCAATCTGGACGATGTTGGTGTAGTCCTTTGCGTGTTCAAGGATTTTGATGATTGTTATATACTGTCTTGTATTTAAAAGGCATGATCCTGGAGTAGTCATTACTCTCCAGTTGTCTTCGCCGATTCTTGTTTTTTTGTTAGAAAAAAGGTTAAAAAAAGTTAGAAGCTACCATTATTATGTGGTCCTGTAATACATACTGTACACTTTTTACTACAAAGCGCATAACTTGATCTACCATCCAATCGCAAAATAATTGAACGACGTATCGTGTTGAGTTTTGCATTGTTTGTGCTATTTCTTGAATATATTTATCCAAAAGGGTAATATCAAATGAGGCGATACTGTCGCTTGGCTCGGGACTGGTCATCTCCCGAGAGTTTTCTCCAAAAAGAAAGGACTCATTTTCCATGTTTCCTGTCATGGACAACTTGGCCAAACGCTTCATATGGCTCAAATCCTCTTTCTCCTGGTAATCGCCATTAACATTTCGTACGCCATATATTGCAACCCTTCTCTGGTGAACAAGACCAGCTGGTGGAGGTGTAAGAAGAGGGAAAGAGGCAAGGTAATGTAGGCTCTGTCGTATAGATCGTTTGTGGCGTTGACTGGGCTCAAGCTCTCCGCGAGCAATAAGACGCAGCAAGTATTTTTGGTATGAGAATAGCTGGAGTCTGATTAAAGTACTAAATAATAATATTATAGGAGTATTTTCTTATAGAAATATAACGACTGTTAGTTGATTTGTATATCTATGCTATTCTTAATGACCTACTCTCAAAGGTGGGATCGTTATTTGCGTTAATTTCGTCACTATTCTGGATCTCTGTTTCGTCTGAAAGTGATTCTTCGTCTAAAAATCGTATGAATGAATCTTGGAGCATCGTCTTGCGTTCGGTTGTTTTTGAAGAGTCTCTCCAATGTAATAAAATAGACGCAATTAAATAAGGACGCCAGTCTCCGTATCGAGCATCACTTGTTGCCCACTGACACATTGTTTTGATAATATGAACAAATGCTTGCTGGTCAACATCACCGGTTCCAAATATTGCTTTTGCAGCCGATTTTGCAGTTTTCCCATTTACTGACATCCACCCATTTTGGTCGATCAGAAGCCCTGAATGACTGCCAACGTGTCTTCCAATGTTGTCCAATACATGTACAACATGTTCTCCATCCCGCACTTCTTCCGTCAGATTTTGAGCTGTCGTCTTTTTATCTTCTCGTGAGTTTCCATCTTGCTTTATCTTATTTTCTTCGGCAGTTCCACAGAATACTTCGTTTCGTGCTTTCACAATATTCCAATATTTTTTCATTGTATTACAAACATCAGGTATAGTTTGGAGAGCACTCTCACTATTATCTTCTCCTAAGATAGCATCAAATACATCTCTATATTGATGATACAACTTTGGAATAACAAATACATCTGGTGTAGATAGAAACAAAGACTATAGTGCAAAATTCACAATTATTATTTTCTTACGATTTAATATATATATATATAAAGTAATATTTTATATATAAGAATAAAAATAATAATAATAATAAAAATACCTGCAACATTTGCTTGATTTCTTTTTGAAGTCCACAGTAGATCCAGTACGATTTGTCTCCGTGTATCTGAGCTGTGTGGCTCAGGAGCTTGAGGCAAAATTGTCAAGACTGATACTTGTAAAAAAAAATTAAAGAAATTAAACCAAACTTACTGCATTGTAGGTTTTTATCAGCGTCTCAATAAGTAGCTTCATTAACGTTCTGTTCCGTCTATACTCGTCTACATAGTCCTGTACTAGACCAGTCAATATAAGCCACATCACTTCAAATGATCCACTGGCGAGTAATGTGTCAAGAGAGGATCTCAAGAAAGTTCGTTGATCTAATAAACCTTCGCAATATTGCCATCTTGTTAATCGTGTACTGTACAACCAGCGCTGTTCAAATCGTGCACGGTTTTCGGGTGATGCCCAGGGCTTTGTTGAGCCGTCATAATGGTTTGATGTATTGTTGTGTCCTTTATGACCACGCGAGTTTGTATTATTGTGATGAGACGCTGTATTTGTTGCCGTAAGTTCACCCAATTGCTTCTTCAAATGGCTAATAACAATAATAGTCCACTGGTTGGCTTGGGAAACCGGTGGGTTTGTGTTATTTGCATTACGCTGGGTCTAAACAGCCCACAAAGATCTGCAGGTTAGAAAGAAATAAAGAAGAAAATAATAACAAAATAGTTACAAGTTCATTTACCATTTCAGAGAGACCGACAATCTTAATATACCAGGACGCTCGCAAGAATGGCACCTGTCTTAAAGCTAATGTCTCTAATAGCTTTTCTCCTTTGAATCCATGCGGGACGTTGCGAGCTAGTTTGCGCAAAGGTACAGTTCCGCCCGCTAGATCTTGCATCCATTGGTCTTTTTTATTGTCCCCCAGAGTGGATCGCAATGGGGGCTTAAAGGAAGTATTTCTATTAGATCAAATCGTATATTAGTCGATAATAAACCAGATGGATTATCATAAAAATAAAATATACACACCCTGTCACCTTGGCTGCTTTTCGTTTCCTTTTAAGTACATCAACCATAAAGCTTCCAAGCTCATTCATTAAACGTTGGTCGTCTTGAAGTTTACCGTACACAATATCATGTGCACAGGTGTGTTCGTTCTAAATGTTGTGTGTGTATGCGTGTGTAAATACATATATTGCATTTAAGCATGCCTTGATAAATTCGAGTAACCTTTCTTTGGCGATCTATAATGGTAACTTACAGAGACTATGGGACGATCATTAAAACCATTTCGCATGTTGGATTCTGTCAAAACATCCTCGTCTTGAGACGAGCGTTGGGGAAATATTCCGGGATAACCTAGTTGGGTCATTGTTTTTGATAACGGTTGTAATCGTGGGGGTGGTTTTAAAGTATATTTCTTAAGTTGTGTATTGTGGGTGACATGTTTGGCCATGTTAGGGGAGGGATGGCCAGGTGAGGATGAGCTGGAATAAGGTGAGGCCATTGAAGATGCATTGTTGTAAGAGGCCGATGAGGCTGATGAGTGACCAATTCCCTGAGCATTATTTTGAGGATTGAAAGGTATGTTGAGGTTGTGCTTGACGGAATTGATGGGCTGATTCGATTGATTGTATCGCGCGTAGGGTGCTACAGAGTGATAATTATTATTATTATTATCATTATTATCATTATTACATTTTAGTATTCCTCGAGCTTGGTTTATTTTAAAAAAAAAAAAAAAAAACAAAAAGTGGTTGATACCTTGATGTCTGCCTGACATCCTGAGGGTATCTAAACTACTCAGGAATATTGGAGGAGCCAAGTAGCCGTGACAAGCAAAAAAGAGAGAAGAAGAGGAATTAGAATAGGAAAGAGAACAAGGGCAGCACAACCGGGAATTCCTATGCCCGCCACAAGGTTGTGGACTGCCAACTTGACCCAATGGCCGAAAAAAAAAACATAGCCACTCGAATTCCCATTTTATTTTTTATCTTTCATTTTATGTACAAACACACACACGCATATATATATATCAACATTCTATACAAATAGTTATCTCGTATGATCTTTGGTTTCTTTATTAAAACAATGATATTAAAATTGTCTCTAAGGAAGTACGCATTAAAGTTCCACTTTGAATCGAATACACACACGCACAAAAACCAGAACATGGGTTTTGTGGCTATTCTTATAAAACGAGTTTCTTCTTTCTTTTAATTTATAATAATTCTGTTTTTGTAAACATTTGCGTTCTCTTAACACCTAAAATAGCAAAACTTGTATCTTGTACATAGTTTTGCATTCAAAAACGTGATCCATAACTCCAAAACAACGACATCATGATGGTATTCATATCGAAATTATATACATAAAATCAAGAGGTTCAGGACGTAATAATCTGCCCACCACTATATTCGCAAAACTTGATGGGAACTTGCTACAAGTCCACACCCTCTCTATTTTTGAGAAGTAGACTCTAAAAAAGAAGCTTTGATTTTCTCATTTTTGAACTGGAAACTCTATATTTGCGTTAACGCGTATTAATGCGCAATATGTATGCTATAGTTTGCGTTGATCCTACCAAATATGTCTTTACAATACACAGACTACACGTTTAATCGAACCTTGTGATACCTAATCTCCTTTTTTCTTCTTCTTCTCCCTCTTATAGGACTCACGGTACCAATTTGCGGTTTTATATTTTCTTGTGGGTTCACAAACTCCAGTTTTCGAGTTTGTCATTGGTCAATTTGCGCTTTTTTTTATTCTCAATCTACGGGTTTGTAAGATCCTGATTAGCTTTATTTTTTTTTAACTTACATTCTATTAAAGTATTTTGACTAAAATGTGATTTATATATTTTTGTATGGAGCTGTGACAGGCTCAGATTTATTAAAGTTCTCTGAATGAGTAGGGCAAAAGAGAAAATTACAACATTTGTTTTGAGGGTTTATGGGGGTAAATGTGATTTATATATGATCCTCGTTTAAATATTTTTTCAAAATTATGATAAGAATGTCTAACAAAGCCTTTTAGGTAATTAAAATTAATCGCGCTATAAGCTTTTACGATCCTGCTATTCAAATCATCGGTGTTTCCAAACTACTTCTTTACTTGTAACTATAGCCCAAAACTTCTCCATGTGGTTAAGTTTTGGGAAGTAAGGGGGAAGGTATACACATTTATGACCTTTAGACTCAATCGTTTTATTGATGCTGTCATCTTTTTTTTACCGTGAATAGGAGAGTTATCCATGACAAGATAAAGCCCTTTTATTTCAGGATAGTTTTCCATTTGATTTAGAGTCCACCTAATAAAATTATGTCAACGACTAGTATTAGCCCCACCAAAAGAAAACTTTTTTTAATCCAGTTGACTTTCTTTTTGCGATTTCTTACCGCCTTTATTTTCTTAGGAGGCAGTAGGATTTGTATCTCAATATTGACCACTCTCATTGCATAAATGGCTCCAAGAATGGTATGACTGATTGTTTTTGTCAAGGGCGTAACAATAGCAGCAAATCTTCCTTTAACTGACCATGTTGTAAGTAGCCTCGTTTTTATATAGTAGGCATCTTTACCGATGAAAATGCAATCATGATAACGTAAATTGGTGCCTTTGACTACTTTTCATCCTACTTACGACGTATTCAAAGCTTATAAGGATTTTTTTTTGAGCTTTAGGGTAGTGGGTCATTTTTTTTATTGAAAGGTTACCCTCCTTAGAAATAAACTCTCCAATATCTGTTTATTTTAGACTAAACTTTTGGAATTTTTCAGATAAGCTACCTATAGCATCTTTTATATGTGTCTGGCGAAACTCGTCAACGTAGCTTATTAAATACTTTTTATGTTCGTCTTGAAGCTGGCTAGGCTTTAACCTAACTTTTTTGTATTTTTCTCGTATATATATATATCCCATTCAGGATATTTTTTAATTATATTTTCCAATTGTCGCCTAGTATGTTCGTTTATTCCTGCCCCTTTAATATATTTTGCGGCTTTACGAAGCTCTGCCTTAATATAATACAAAAATAAAGTTTTTTGTTCAACTGAATGTGCCTTATATTTATGCTTTGTAGTACGGTGAAACACACTACACGGCGCACAATTCGAGGATTATGTTAGGTTTTTTTGGACGAATTAAAATAGTAGTTTAAAAAGTTTGCTTACTTATTTTAGATAAAATAAGAATAAAAATGGAAATAAAAAAAATGGAATGAATATATTAAATAATTGCTACATTTACCTGTGCGTGTATTAAAGATTTATATCAATAACACACATTGATTATAATTATTCTGAAGATGAAGGGCGCTGGAACGGGGACAGGCGAGTGCCATTGTTTTTTGCGACGTATAAGAAAATATCAAGAATGTTTTTCTGCGGCCATCACATCCTAATTCCAAATAACATTGAAAACGCTTTCCTTGCACTGCAATACTGCTGTTATCCCATGGTCCAAGACCCAAACTTGACATCTGTCTTCAATTTCATTTAAGAATCTGACGACTTTTTTTTGGGTGGCATTATAATTGCTTTTCTTTGAGACTCGTGAGAACAGAAATGATATTGAATAACCATCAGAATATACAGCGTTCCTAATATTAATCGTTTAATCTTGAAACAATATTAAATGACATTGTTAATGATTTACTTGAATATCTTTCTACCAATAGAAATACTCTCCCTGGCTCTAAATCCAATCTTGGAGAAATCGAAAAGCTTGTAATAAAAATCAGACAACATTTCCTCGTTCTTAGAGCTTTTAGGATAGTCTTCAATCCCAGATTCTTTCGCTAATCTCCAAAACGTTTGAGCATCAATTTGAACCGATCTTCTTTGAAACGAATAAACAGGTAGAAGAGAGAAAAGTGCTATCCGCGTTTATCGGTATACTTGACAGTACAAAAAGGACTATCTTTTATCCTTGCCTCTACGGTATTGACAAAGTTTGAAACTGTCGTCTTATGCGTTTGAATCTTTTGGATTTTCTTTCCCAATATCAGAGGTTGATTGCTGTTGATAGATATAAGGACATGTTCTCGAAAAGAATTGGATTGGTTTCTGTTTAACGACGCAGCAAAAGGAAATTATTTGAGTTTGCGATAGACGTATGCTTTAGAAGCGACAGTTTCCGGTAGTTCTTCCGTGATAAGAGCCTTTTTTTAAAAAAAACTTTTGTTTGAAGAAAGTGAAGTCATTTGAAATAAGTATGAGGCTGTGCATACAAGGTATTGGGTTTAGAGTCTATTGGCTGATAGCGAGACCACAACGTATTGATGTTTCTGGTAATTTCCTTGAGAGCATTTCTCTTTTCAATAAATGACAGTCATGGCGATTCTTTCTTTAGTTTTTGGCTGTAAATATAATAAGCAAGTGACTTTTTTTTTGGCTCACTGTTAACCCTCGACAATAAAATCCAAAGGACTTTCAGGCTAGGGTGTCCAGAAAATAACGTAAGCTTCTTTTCATCAGCCATGTATACGTTCGATACTTACTATTTAAAACCTCCTTTTCTTTTGCTGAATTCTCGGAGGAGTCATCTTAATATTTGCGTTTCATGTCTTTGTTACAAGCTTTGAAAAGAAATTCTGGTTTCCAGTAAACGATACAAAAAAGAAGAGAAAGGTTAAAGGACAACATTTCGCATTTTAATTAATTATGATGATGGTCTCTTCAATTAAAATTCTGAGATACTAATATATTGTCAAAGTTAATCGTGATACCATTGATATAAAACTTTATTATAAAAACAATAGACCCACCTAATACGGTGTGAGCAGAAGTTCAATAAAAAACTAGCAAAGCTTACCAGATATTTAATCGGTGGTTTGAAAATAAAACAAAGTATAAAGTAAAGAAGATCAATGAAGAAGATCAAAGTGTTTGTTGTGCGAATTTATAGGAAACAGACATTTGGAAATTGAAATTGAAACAATCGTAAATACTAGCGACTGTGCATTTTGAAAAAAAAAGTCTTTTTTTTATTTATTTCTTATATGTCCTTTATATGAAGGGAAATTGATGTACTCCTTGCATGATTTTCTACAAGAAAAAAAATAAATAAGTGCTTGGCACATCACACCCACTGAGGTTTCTCCTAAATATGGAAATTTCTTGTCGAAACCAAATTTTCTATTGGCTTAGAGTATGAATTGAGATTAAACATGAAAAGCTTCAGATTTGGGGGGGCAAAATGATGAGACATATGCCAGAAAAGGATGAAATAATATTTTCGTGTACCATAAATAAAATTCAGATGATATAAATGTATGAAATGGGGGGGGGGGGGGGGGGGGGGGGAAAAAAACCAAAAATTTGGAAAAAAAAAAATTTTTTTGGAAAAAATTTTTTGGAAAAAAAAATTTTTTCCCAAAACATTTTCCCCATTTGGGTTTTTTTCCCCGGGCTTTAAAAACCCCCAACGGGGGGCCAAAAAAAAAGGGTTTAAAAAAATTTTTTTTTTTTTTTTGGGGGAAAAAAAAAAAAAAAAAAAGGGG